CCAGTTAAATTGGAAATTCGATACGGCGAAACGAACGAGAGTCTCAGTGAATCATGTGTGCGATGATGAAACCTAGACCGCAAATATCGCCAGTGCAGGAACATTACACTCTCCCGTAACGATGCGTTACGCTATATTTGATATTATACACAAATATGGGCATACTTTATTACCGTTTCGCAAACGTTGTTTACCTGCTAATAATTTTAGAGTCGAACGGGTTAATTGCCGCAATTAGAGCAACGAAAGATTAAACTGTTAAATCCAACGAACGTCGCAAATGAATTTGCATACGTTGATTTCATCCGTTACTCGTTACTCGAGTAAAATTGTGCCCATCTCTGGCTTTAATCTAGAATTATCGAACGCAGAGTCGCGTTTAATGCGATGAGACGCAGCTTGACGTCGATGCACGGCTCCTAATCGTCAAGAATCCGCTCATATTCGCCAGTGGGATATGCAGAAGACGTTGATTGCAAATTGGAGCCGAAGCTCAAAGTAGCTGGGATTCGCAGTTAATGCCGAATACGTCCGTGTGTAATTTCAGATGTTCGAAACACGTGACGATGTTCCGAGCGATACCAGCAATTCGGAATTAATTGAAATTCAAGCGGGCCATCAGCGCCGAAAAAGCGTGTCGCTGTTTCGTGACACGCGACAACCGTGTTTGGGCTTTAATTACGCTCCGCGTAATTAGTTTTAACCTGATGCGTTGCCATTCAGATTCCAGTAGAACATTTTCCGTTGGCTTGGATTCTGTATCGACGAGCTCCGCCAAATTTTTATTATTAGTATCGTCTGCCATTCCATTACAAATTTCGTTTCGAAATTCCCATACGAGCGGCGCTGTCGAAACTTTATCAGATATTCTCGTTTGTGTAGTTATCCGTTCGTTAAATGGCTGAACATCCATTATTCTTACCAAGCAGCCCATGCAAACGATGATAGAGGGAACCGAAATTGCAATTGTATTAAAAATCGAAGTTAATCGTTCCGAATTTGTTACCTCTAAGCATTTCTAAAACTTGTAATTTTTATTAAAATTACTTTTCACATATTTATATACTTTTCTCGTAGTTTTCCACAAATTTAAATTAAACGTCGTTATTTACATCGTGCCAATCGCGTCTCGCGATGTTCCTCTCGACGCTCCTTGTACTTCAGTCAATCGTCCGCTATTTCATGCACGTCCAATATTAGTTCTCAAGTTGTACATTTAATATCCGTTTCAGCCAGCATTTTTCAGTAAACAGACTCGACGTAGTTAGGTTCCATTTAACGGAAATTCTATTTCTGATTCCACTACTTTCCGGGTTCTAATAAATTTTTGAATCGTCTACGTCCTTACATAGAGTCTACCCGCTTTAAATCGTCTGCTCGCTTCTAGTTATAAACTTTTCTGCACCGTAAATGAGAAACGTAGTCGCTCTTTAAATTGTCTGACAGCGCACGGTCCTCTTCTACTGGCACGAAAATTCCCATTCTCGTTCGTCTGGCTGCGGGCACTCCTGTTCTACTTATGAATTGCTCTGGCTACTCCATATGGAAAGCATTTCTCTTCTTTAAATTGTCTGAAGCCCTGCGTTCCCATCCTACTGGCACGAACAATGCTACATCCGTTTGATGGCGTACAGCTTTATGTTGTTCGCGAACCACGTCTGCCAGATTATGTAAATTTAGACTACTGCAGAGAGAAGGAACATTAAGTAAGAGGAATCGTTGTCCCATTAACCCTTTCAGACTAGAATTTATTTTCTCGTACAAATGTAATTTAATTTTTAGGGTTGACTTGAATCAAAATTAGTAAGGAAAAAATTTTTAAAAATCCTAGTAGTGTAGTTTTCGAGGAATATTGGTCTTTCTTCATATGCACAAATAAAGACATTTGCCTTAAAAGATAGTGTCGGTAATTTTTAAATTTTATGTCCTCAATTGTGAATGACAGGTCTGAAAGGGTTGATCCGGCTATGCTCAATTGTATTCCGCTTAGATTTTCATTTGTATTTTCAAGAGGAGGAAAAAAAAAACATTCGAGGAGTGCCGTCTCTCTGGAGTAATTCGAATATGCTCGAGATCCTTTCGTATGAATTGCAACACTTCGTGTTCCATTTGTCTGGCTACGCGGTCGATTCTACTTGCTCGTTGGTTCGTCATCTAAATTTCAAAATATCGCGGAATCTGAATTTCTAATAACGCGAGCGAACGTCACTTACCGTAAGTACCGAGAGAAAGTGAATATATTATCGGAACCTATTCGTGGTTGAATGAAAAGTGCGGAGGTAGATCGTACAGACTGTCGCTATTCTTCATGTTAATCTACTCTTCTCTACGCTCATTTTTACGTTTATCGAATGATGGAACATCGGATTGATCTATAATTTCTGAATTCTTTTATCTGGAAAGAAGAGGAAAACACCAGGCCAAGAACAAAGATATTGCTTACACGTGACGGATCCCAGCCACTCGGTGAAAGTTGTCGAGACAACGGAAGACGTTTCCATGGTTGTCGTAGGTCTGGAAGCCGACTAGAAGAGACAGACTGGAATGAATAATAACGGGACCGTAGCGAGCAGTTTGTCGTTGAAACTAACTAAGCTCTCTGGAAGCTCATTTAGCAGCGCCTCGCGTAATTTAATTTCCGTGCAGCGATTTCTCCTCTCCTTCTGGATGTATCTCGGCTCCGCATCAGAACCAGACCAGCTACGAGATATTATACCCCGAGAGGCATCGTGTTCCCCAAAAATTAATTTCATCGATCACACTTCCTACCAGTTTCGTTCACATTTTGGGGTTTCTTCAATTTTATCTCGGAATGATCCCGAGTCCGACTCGCGTATCCGAGTATGTCAAGCTTTGGTTCGTTTCTCACTCGAAAAGGCTGGTTTCGTAACTCCGTTGAGAAGCAGAGCGTGCAGATAGCCACGAGTCACAGTAATGTATTCCGTCGTAAAGGACTACCTCTGTAGGTGACGCTTCATGAATCTCTGATTCTAGTTTCAATGTCTTTGAGCCACTAATATATAGCACGACTTATACCAGCTTATGTGTACCTTAACGTGGGGCATTGTACTCTGTATTCCTGGTTGTAGATTCTCGAGTGTTTCCTCCCTGGCTGTAGATCTTTTATTTTATATGCACTCCTCTCTACCTAACCCTTATTTTAGGCTATATCCTCTGAACTTCGGTACATAGTTCGTGAAAGCTCCGCAGCCAGAGCGCGGGGACGTTGAATCTCAATTTACTTTACGTCGTTGGTGACCAATCACCGCGCCACGTATTTTCGTGAAAAAGCTGAATGCTTAAAGTAGTCGGAAATTCAGTTTTCCGTGGAAAATGGTGCGCGAAACGTGGTCGGAGGTAGACGCCAGATACGCCTGGAGTAACTCTTTCTTAATCTCTCGGGGGAGAAAAAATCTGATGCACGGGGCGGAACGGAGTATCTCTTTCGAATCGACGTCAATACGAAAATCGAATTGTGCCACTGGCGGAGGATGTGCTCGATGTCGCGGCAACGGGAAACGTTTTCTCACGGAAAAGCCAGAATATGGCCACGTCGACGGAGAATGAAATTTGCGCGATAGAAACGCGCGCTTTTCGAGGAATCTCGAAGAAGGAGTCGATTCGTTACCCACTTGGAATTGTTTTTTATGAAACAAAGAACGCTCATGTTCGAAGACACCAGTTCGAAGACTGTAACCAGTCTTTATTGCGAGGAGTTTATTACTCTACTGCCTGCTCTCCCGTCGCTTTGAAACTACATTCTTTTAAAATTGAAAATCTTCTTCCTCGAGGAATAATAATTGTGACTGTAACACAGTTTAATTTAAACTTCGACGCTCGAGGATGATCGGTAACAATGTATCGAAGGAGGGCCTGGGAAATACGATAACCCTCCGAATTTCCATTCGAAGACAAATTAACGAGGAAGGGAGAAAGCTTCGGCGCTTTGTAAAGGAATCGAACTCATTGTCCCGGCAATAATAGCGCGAACAGAGGGAAAAGAAGGAAAACCACTCCATTTTAGATTCCAGTAAATCACGCCTTTAAATCTCCCATCAAAGCGACTCTCTTTGACTTCGAGCTTCCTCGAAAAAGGGAGCAGGCTTTCAGGAAGATCGAATAATTAACCGAACAAGGCGACGTCGACGATTATCGATTTATTACTATGTCTGAGAGGATGCACTTCGTTCGAAGCCGACTCGAGGATACTGGACTCCGATGTGTTGACGTTTGTCAAAGCGCGAACGCTGCTTTAAAGGAATTTTTATTTCGTGCTTAAGAGACGTCTGATCCTAATTAATTCCAAAAAAAATTCAAGAACTTCCTCGCATTGCAGGCGATTTAAACATTAAAAATTAGGTTTCATCGTGGATTCGAGATATCCATCGGACGATTCGATTTCAGGAGAAGGGAGCGTTTTGTCCAGGGAATATCGGTTAATCGCGTTCATCGTGAATGGAACGTTGGACACCTGGTCCTGGACGAGGGCAAACGTTGCGAAGTGACTCCAATTAGGGGCCATTATGGCCTCGTTATTAATGGCTCTCGGTCCGTGCGCTGGATAACGCGATTCCACGAAACGCGTCGTGTTATTCCACCAGATTATAGAACGTCATTGTCGGGAGAGTGTGTCGATGTCAGGTGCCCGTTCTGGTTTCCTGGAAAACGCTATTTAGTTTGGCTATACCGGACTCATCAGCAATTCGCTGCAGACACGGTTCTGAATAATTTCGTTAAGTGTGTTTGGCGTTGGGCTCTTAATCCCCTCGGAGACGAATTATTTCGATTGAAATTCGCATATCATACATACCGATATCAAGCTGCAGCCTATCGATCTTCTATTCCGCGTAACCGTATCACAATCAAAACTTAATTATCGTTATTCGTTCACACGTACCAGTTTCGTAGTACGTTCACTTGAAATAATTTACATGTAAATGTAAGAGTGCCTTATTCGATTTTAAATGTTATCTGAATTTAATTTTCTGCTTTGTCCGCAGAATGCCTAACGAGAACGCGGCAATTTGCGGGTGCGGAGTGGTAGTGGACCTCCAGAAATCACGAAATGGCCCTCTATCCGCGAAGAAGCACACCATCAGGATACCCAAGTCGAAGAGCGGCAAGTCCGAAGGACGATCCGCGAAGAAACATCAGGATGAGGCGCGTTCGAAGAACAGGAGCTCCGAGACAGGAGGCAGCAGCTCCGTGGCAGAGCAAACGAGACCAGTCACGATAATCTGCAAATATGATAAACGATTGAAAAATTCGAGAAGGGCCAGGAGCGCCGACAGAGCTGAATCGCATTATACTTACATCGGTCGGTAGAAATTCCGTCATTTTTCTGACCTTTTGATAAAAAGTCTTCTTTGGGAAGTAAAAAAAGAAAATTGACGATTTTCTCTTGCAGTAATTCCTAACTTAAATGACTATAAACTTATCCGTTGAGTAATTGAAATCAATTTGAACTACGAGACATCTCGTAGTTCCCAGTGAATGGGTTAAAGTACGTATAAACGGTAAAAGACTTGCACTTGTTTACTTAAAATTAATTCCTAAAGGAGACCTCGTTTTGGAATACTTTAACTGCGTAATGCCCTTAATGCTTATTAACCATATCCTGCGCATCGATGCACATATGCATTTTTCTTTGATATTTTATTACACAACAGCATAAACAACAACTTATGCGCTGTTCCTAACAGAAATAAGACGTCTACGTTATAAAAATGTTACAGCACCATTAAAGATTATTATTCTTGAGCTACATCCGACAGTTGGAATGAAGTTATTAGAATGAAAATATGAATTACAAAAAGGAAAAGTTTGATGAAATCTAGCTAGGCCGCCAACGCGTTACGTGACGTCGACGAGAAACTGACAAGGAACATCCGCGAGATGTCCAGCACAGATTTTGAAAGTTTGCTCGTTTATAGACGCGTACTTTTCCTAAACTGTGAAAATCCGAAAGTTTCGTGTACAAACTAACTGCTAAAGTTTTCGCCTCCTAATTTCATCTTGGAAATCTTTGGGGACACGGGAAGGTATCTGGAAGAATTTTTGTTTAGTTTTCGAGGAGAAATAGACGTCGACGAAGAAGAAACAAATACAGAATATTAATAGCGAATCACGTACACCGTAAATATAAAAATAATGTCAAGAATAGAAAGTTAATTTTACAGAAGCGTGCGATAAATTCACTTGCAAGTAAGAATTAAAAGAATTAATGGAAAAAGGAAGTAGAGAGAAACTGGTACTATAACCGTTGAAACTTTGTCACGGTATCGCAAGTGACATTCGACTCGCGATTCCAACGATTCACGCGTCATAAGACACGGCACCCAATTTATTTTCATCTACGACTAATTAATTGTCGATCTTTGCTTGAAATTGGTTTGCGCAGATTCTGGGTCCAGCATACTCGGCGGTGGATTTCGGGAAAACACTATACCGGAGGCCCTGTACGCCACCATTCCAGACACGCCGAACTCGAGTGCCAATGATACAGGAAATAGTCAATTAAACGCGCATAGTAGATCGCAACCCGTTTACGCCATTCCCTCTATGGTATCGCCGCCGCCCACCTACGACGTAGCCATCTCGAAAACGTGGCAGGTGAGTGGTTATTAATAGTCACTAGTCGAAAATAGAATTCTGAACGGAAAATATCGACAACGCGGTCGAGTGAATCTCGTGTAACTTGTTCCACTTTAAATTTGCACACTTTATTTTCCTGTTTGCAATGTACACGATTCCCTGAATGAGTCGGCGGATGAAAATCGAGAAACAGGTGATTCCGTATACAAAGTCGAATGAAAAATATGACGTAAAGTTCGTTTTTTGTTTTTTCGTGCAAGACTTCGGTATCGAGTTTAAATTACTTTTAACGGACGAGCTTGTCCATTAACGCGTAAAAACAACTTCGAGGCTGATCGGATGAAATGTTTAACGAATCTTTAAAGTAAAACGAAACGTTTCCAGGATGATTCGACTTGTTGAGTTACTTTACTGTGAAAATGGGTCAATTAATCAATAAATGGGTCAATGGGTCAAAGGCTGTATTGTTACGCAGATAAGCCATTATTTCTTCTGATGGACTGAAACAATGGCGAATAATCATTGTTAATCGAAGCACCGGTACAAAGGTATTATTCGATCAGCTTATTCCCCATACTATTGTTTCGCATTACATGCAAGGTAAATCCATAGTATTTACTCCCCGTCGAACGTGATTTAATTCTTTGATATTTCTCTCGGAAAATTCTATACACCTGTTCCAAACGTTAACAACACACGGTGGACGTTTCCCGTGTGTTACAATTGCGTCAAAATATATCATTCGTTCACTCGTCAAATGATGAATTTCAAAGCGTATCGGTAACGTGAATTCAACAACTATTCATCGATAATCAGAAGTTCTTAATTATATATATATATAAATGTTTGATAGGAGGAACTCTAATTACCAATGGTGTAGAAAAGTACTCGATTCAATTCTAGCTGCTGCAGTCGCTCACAACGATACTCAAGCAAAAACCTTCGATACAGTTTTGGATATTCCTGTGAAACCACAAATTGGAAACCGTTCCGCGAAATTACGAGGAGTGAAACTACCGTGGAATCGATGTATCGGAAGAGACGCGAAATCAGAGACTCGTCACCGTTCAAACGTGTCGCTGGAGGATTTAACTACCGAATAGTAACGGCCGTCCTTGGTCAGACAGTAGACAGAACGGTCCCAGTAGCAAAGGTTGTTCGCGACCAGACTTGTTAGACGGTGACCTGCAATCGACGCACACACCCTCCTCCGTTCACCCCTCCAACATTTTCTGTGAACGCGTTGACGGTCCGCTAATTGCGCACTTTAGACCTCTAATCACGTGCAAGAGATCCGATTTGCATCGGAATTACAAAAACCTGGAAAACGAGAAGCCCTTTGACGCTGCGAAATTACCTTTCAGGCGTAAATTATCCAGTCGATTTTTCGTGTCAATCCCATTCTGTCGAAACGGAAACTCGGGGCGTTTGATAAGTTTCGTAATTACGTTTAAAAATCGAACGAGCTTCGCGTTTGCTCGGTTCCTTCCGTGGGTCTCGATTTCTAAAGTGAGAGGAACATAATACATTTTTGCGGAGAAATATATCTTGGAGATGAATAAATCGGATTTTGGCTGATTAATCAACCCAGACAAGATCACGCAAGATGAAACGATCAGTAATAGAAACTAAGTGAATTTCTCTTATCTCGAGATGCCTGGGTTCGGTGCACCGGATTAAAATAACAGCGGAGTAGTTTAATCCGTGTAATCGATGTGCTGGATACCCAGTGGCCGTCCTATTTCTTCGATAATTGCCAACGAACTTTTCGCACAATAATCTGGCAATTCGTTTTTCTCCTTGCTGATCTTTCGTGAGTCTTAGAACTTCGCGACCACCGGGTATCGTGGGAAATTCTTCGTTCTTAAAGGCTCGAAGGTAAAGGTGGAACTACTCGAGACCAGCATAACTCGTGACGCGCGTTATGGATGCGGGAAACGTGATCTGGTTACATTTAGTTTGAACTACTTGAAGATTTTTAAAATGCTGAATGGGCTAGATGAATCCAAGAAAAATTAAAGGTTCGCCGAGATGTTCCAATGAATTATTTTCGGTCTTCGACAGTATTAATATACGGAACGTGTATCAGACACATCGAACAACATTATCAAGTTCCTAATAAATACTCTCAGCGTTAACTAAAGGGAGATCGATAGAATTCGAGCAAATTTCCATGAATATTCGAAGCACTCGCTCGTTTTCACGGAAACTGTTCACGCGAGAGGGGATGAGATCGACGGACAAAAGGCAAATTCGAGTCGCTTCCGAGCTCTAGAACCATTTTGCTTCTGGCTGGCCGCTTCGAATAGTTCTGCGGCGCCTGCCGACACATAAATTGTCGTGCCACATCGTGGACCACCCCCTTACGAAAAACAGTGCTACCCCCACTGTCGACCCACTTCGAAGTCCCGTTGACGATGCCAGGACACCTCGAATTTTGCTGAGTTCGTGCCGTTCCATTCTCACCGCGTTTTATCGACTGGCGTTGCTCGCAGATTCGATACTTCGAAACTTTCACCCCCGGTCGAATGTTTGGCAAGTTTTGAATTAACCCGACGTTGAGACTCGGCGAATCCTCCAAGGACCATCGCGTACCGCAATTTCCGCCGATTTGCTCCGCTCCACTCAATTTCTTTCGATCAATACCTCCCGGAGAGACTTAAAAGGATCCTTGGATAATTCTAACGAGCATCGTCCAGATGCTTTGGACTAACGTACAGGAGATATTATGCAAAAATTGACAGAATCGATGCTTGCCGGTGAATGATATAAATACAAACGGTACGGCACGGCCTGTTATGCTGGCGTTTAATTGCGTTTCGATTCGAGAGTTATCTTTGGAAAAAGAAGAAACTGTAATACATAATATCCATATCCGTTGTCATATCACATAAACTTAAGTAGTCGTTAATCTAAATGTCGTCTGAAACGCAATTTGACTAATGAAAGACTCGATAATTACTCCAAACGAGCTCAAGCTCGTGTTCGAGAGGTATTGCTTTGAACTTAAGCTTGATACCTCTAATGATTTCGCTGAAACGCTCATGCCAGTTTTCGTGTCACGAGAACCCGTGAACTCATTATTCTAAACGACGACAAACGAGGACTTAGAGGAGTCGCGGGACGATTTATTTCCCAAAGTTTCCAACGTCTTAATTCCGCGTAAACTGTACGGGGGTGGGCAAGGTAGCAAACAATCTTCATCGCATCGGAGATTAATGTCGACATGGCTCGGGACTAACTATATAAATTGTCCGTGTCGAAAAGTTTGCTTAGATTGATATGGTAACTTTTGAACGCGTTTCACGTTCCTGGTGAGAAATTTCAGTAGCCATTGTTGTAAAATGGAGGCACGTATTGCCGGCATCGGAAAGGTAATTCAACTTTCCGACGAATTCTGTCGCAACACTTTCGCTTTCGAAGCGCTGGTCGAGTCTCCGAGGAATTTCAAATCGAGGGAAACTTCGCCTTTAATTGATTAAATACGTTTCTTCATACGGAGGCGAGGAATTCGAAATTATTGCTCGAAGAACACGAACGACGCCGTGAATAAAACTAGCGATATTTTCCGTGATAAAGCTGTCCAATTTTATGGCTCCAACCGTGTCGTGTAAAATGAAAGCGTATACATATTCAGCATTGTGATTTATTCCGGTGATTTATTTACAATGCTTTCCACCCGCTTTCACAAGAAGCTAATAAATTCTGTTTTGAATAAAACGACAATGAATCTTCCTCTGGATTCGTTCAACTTTCACAATTACCGCGAAGAAAGATGTCCTACTCTGGGCCAACGTAGTTTGAACGAATTAATATCCACGAGATTTATTTTTATGTTCTTACGATGTGTAATCATTTCCAGAAAAAAAAAAATATATAAAGGAACCCTTGGAAAATAAAATACCTTAATAGAAATGAAAACAACAAATTTCATTATACTTCTGCTGTCGGTAGAAGAACAAAAGCGAATAGAAGTTCGCTGGAACAATTTTCCAGAAAGTTTTCTTCCCTCGTTCAAGAGGAGATAATAAATTCTGTTCTCAAAAAAAAAAAAAAAAAAGCGACGGATTCGCTCGCTTTATTACAGTTGTTTACCAAGTTCTGTCTGCATTTTCTTCAAAATGACGATGGTCACGTGTCCGCCCTTGGCCTCGCAAGTTTTGATATCACAGAAACGATACGAATAAATCGGAATCTAAGTGGTCGTGAATAAGGTACCGGAAACAATTCCTGGAAGCCCGGTTCCACTACCTCGGATGATCGGACAGCGCTAATCTTTTTCCTTGATTCGTCTCGAACTTAGGGAAGAACCCTAAAGTGGACTGGATAAAGGCCTAACGCTTTTCTTGCGTGCGGGGATAACGATCGTACCTCGTTTCAGCTCGGTTTTCTTCTAGACGAGCTGAGCGTTATGGAAAACGGTAAAAACGAGATGAATCTCCGGCTGCTGTGTTAATTTACACAACCCATCGCAATAGATATAGTTACAAATGAACGTCGGTAGGTTCAGTGTTAAATCTAATTAGAACATGATAACATCTAAAATTCTTCTAGGAAGTTTTGTCGCCACTGGTAATCTCATTAATAAAGGATTGAACTTATTTGTCACGCCGTACAACTCGGTTTTCGAAACATTGGTACTACCGGAAATAATTAAACTCCTCCGTGGTCCGCAGAGCACACCTTCCGCTCGGAAGACCAACAAGGAGTTTAATTATTCTCGGTCACGCTAATGTTTAAGTAAAAGATGGAGTATTCAGATTTGAAATTTCGGTCGCAAAGCCTCGGCGACGAGCACAGTTTCCCCTGCAGACCGTCTACAATTTTTTTGGTATGCGTTCGAATAAAACAAAGCCCGTTTAAATTGCAGCTACGGGGAGACGCTTCCAATGCCACTTTCCACCGGAACAGCCGAGGATAAAACGAAATTAAAATGTTTTTTCCATTAGCGTGGGCTGAACGACCGCTTTCCCGACAAACGAGCCGTGAAATTCGTTTCGAAGAACAAAAAGTGTTCGTCGTTCGAGAGAATAAATTCCACTTTGGTCAGCTCGGGGCGACGATCCGCGCGGCCACTTTTCCGTGTCGCGCGCGATCTCATTAAAGCGATCGAAAACACCCAGGCAAAGTAGAAGCGAGATGTTTCCCTCTAGAAACACGATTTCGTTACGCCCTTTTCGCGGTGACTTTCCTCTCGCAGACGTCGATGAAAATCGACAGAAACGAGGCCAATAACTGCGCAGCTATTCGTCAGATCCGTGGTCTCTAGTTTTCGAGGTCACTTGTTTCCGCAATCGGGAAACATCGATGGAAACGTCGATAGAAAAAGCTGCGAGCAATTTACTGTTTCCATTTCAAAACAACCCCGAGAGATCCTCGGACGATTCTGATAGACTTCTCACCCTCTACCGCGATTGTGACGAATGGAAGAATTGGAAATGCATTCAACGTTGGATCTGGCGTATGTTGCAATGTAAAGAAGCTTTAAATGATTAAATCGGAAGTTATCCCTCGCGAGTAAGAAACTTCTTACGCATTTTCACCACTCCCTTGCTTCCAAAAATCACGCTATGAAAGAACGTAGTCGTCGATCCCCGCGTTTTATTTGCGCGAGGGAATGTTCAAAAATTGTACAGAAAATTCGCTGAACGCCGATGATGCGATAATTAAATTATTATTCGCGAACTTTAATTAAACGCGCTCAGAGCACAACGCTAGGTAATTAATGCTGCTGCGAAAGTAAAGCCGAAACCCCCGTTGCGACATTTAATTTTACGATGAGGATTTCATACACGCAAATGAAAGCGTGACGACGTCGTGCACAATACAAGTGAGCGACGCACACGCGGAGGATCTTCTCGACGTTTATTGTTCGTTACGGGATAATGGGGATCGAATGACAGCATTTCTCGAGTCGACGGTGATTTACGGATTTTCAATAACTGTAATCGCAGGCACTGCGGTGAAATGGAACGACGACGATGCAAATATTTAACTAAGCGAATAATACGAAGCACCGAAGTTTTATTTTACCGTTTTTCCCTACGTTTTCAATCGAGTCATATGAAAAATTGTTTCTCTGTGCTTGTACACGATTTCCCAAAGTCTCGACCACTAATTTCGAAACCAAATACATACTAAATTTTCATTGAACAGCGACGAGTGACACGTACGGTGACGGCACATGACGTATTCTATGTACGACATATCGTAATGGGTTAAATTGGATTCCGAACAGCGTCGATGAATCACGTTTCCATTCAGGATACCGAGAACTACCGCAGAAATAACTTCCTGGAAGTGAAGTAACCGAAAAAGGAAGAGAACGCATGGCGTCTGGATGGCGCGCCGAACAGAGTTTTTGCTTTTCAAACAATTGGCTCGAGTTCAAATCCTCGACCGCGCCAAAAAACTGTTTTCTTTCATTCTCCGCGAGTCGTCGCATCGTAAACAGCGGCGACCTTCGTTTCAACATCGAATCAACAATGATCAAAATAATTACATATTGGCAAACTGATTTTCTATATACTCGAATCCACGAGGAGGGACTAGAATCACCCAAGCAGTGAAATAAAAAAATATTTGACTGTGTAAAGTCGAATCCACCATCAACGGAAATGTGTTTTCGTATTTCGAGGACCCATCGCGTGTATCGCCCACCAGCGATCAAATTCGGAGCGCAAGATTGAACAACATTTCCCGTCAAACTTTCCCCAACAGCAATTAGTTGAATTACAGCGGCGAAGCCCCTGGCAGCTTCGCTTCGAATCGAAAGATTAAACGTAGCGTCGGTCGCATTCCTACTGTTCAACGCGATTTCCATCTCGGCTTTCCGACAATCCGACCAATTACAGGAAACAATATAATTAATGCCGACCACCGGCTGCCTCGTTATCAAATTATTTCTCCTAACAGTTTACCCTTCGGCGAAATTCTCGACAGACTAGTTTCTTTTTAAAATACTCCTTAAATGATAGATTTGACCTTTCTTTTATAAATTTTTTTTTCAAAAATGCAAAACAATCGTTTAAATATTTTTTTGTTTACAATAGTACAAAGTTTCAAAATTTTCTCTCAATAACTACTGGTAGCAAGTTTTTATCGCTGCGTCCTTCCCTGATTTTTGACTCGATCCGCCGCCAACCAGTGATCTTTGATTCCAGTCTGGCCTGCCACCGACCTACGAGGAGTACCTGTGTCACAAGTACGCCATGCTGTCTCGATCTCACACCCCGCCGCCGCCGTGGTCGGATTCGACGACGACACCTCAAGCGATGAGCGCTCAAACGCGTCGGGAGCTGTTGGCGAGCCAGCCAGAGCTCAGGGAGTATCTGGAGCAGTTGTCGTTGTCACAGAACAACGAGAGGTCCAGTGGACACCACCGCCAGGGCGCTGTGCTGAGGGACAGCTACCTCTCGAATCAGCAAACCTTCAGGGAGCAGCAAACCAGGACGAACCAGCAGCGAACGCGAAAAATGCCTCCCAGGTGAGTCTCGAGGCAAAGACGTTGTCGGATAATTCGTTCCAGGAATGGAAAGGTACGAAATAATTTAGACTCTCGTTCCCGTCGACCACGTGTCCACGACACCCTTGGGAATTGTACAAGGCGGAACTGACGCAAGTACCATTATAGGAGACGACTCTTTTCGATGCTGGCTGATTTGTGCGTCTGCGCCGATTTTAGGAATCCCCAGACTTGAATGAAAATGTTTGCAGATGGGGCTAGGGAACGATGTAGAAGTAGATTCAATACGTTCGAGATTGTGAAATATAAGCGAATTTTTTAAGTAGAGAAAGTATAGTAGCATCGAGATCTGTAATGGTTACGAATGTTTCAACCTTTGTGCACAAAGAATTAACCTAACGTCCCACCGTTATTTTTGAATACGATAAAAACGTCGAACGAATAAATGAAAAATAATTTCAGATCGCAGAGCGAGAGTCGAGTGCAGCAGCAAAGAATCGCGACGTACGAAGACGGCGCGTTCTGCATGGAGACGACCGCGCTGCAATCCGCGTTCGAGAATGGACTAGCCTTTTGCAGTTTGATGTAAGATCTCCAAACATCCGATGAACGAGACGAAACAAACCAAGGATTCCAGAGATCCAGGAAAATTGTATTCGAGAGCAGTGTCTCGTCGGTGGTCGCTCGAAAAGGAAGAATTTCATTGCGGACGCAACGAAACATCCCCCACGAATCGACTTCGATACAATCGATCTCGTACCTTCGCTATTCCCCAGACTCCTTCCTTCTTTCGTCGCGTTCCGTAAAACTTGAACGCGAGCTTCGATTCGATTCGAGGGTGAAACGGGAGTTCGTTCGACGTCTTCGACGGGGAAATTTTGAGAGCTCCAGGCACTCGAAAATTTCTCTGGTTTCGAGGATTTCGAAACTTTCCAGACGACAGAAGACATTGGAAATTTTCAAGCTCTTTTCAAGTCCTGCAGTGGAAACTTTCTAAACGCGGAGTTTCGCCGCAAGAAATTCTTGAATTGGCGGAACTTTCGAGCGCCTGTTGTATCGACATCTCTCGACGGCACTGAAAATTAATAATTTGTGGAGAACATGGACGAGTTTTGTGTGATTCGTTATTACGTTTTGGACCTTACACCTTGGATCGTCTCTCGGAAGGAAATTTATAATTGCTCGGTAACCGAGGCCCCTTAATTTAAGACTCGTCGCGGATATGCAACACGTAAGTATTTGAATTGAAATTTTTTAATTGATCGATCAACTTTAGAATTATTCGGTTCCGTTAAATGACCAAGCTTGAAGTCGAAATGAACACAGAAATGTAAATGTAAATGTTCCCTGCAAATTATTATCGTTACAATACAAGCTGGACTACCTACTCTGGTCCCGAAAATCTCCCAGCTGTAAATCTTCGAATGATCACCGTCATTCGCACAAATCTAACGTCAACTAACCGGAAACGCTGTCTCAAACGATTCCACCACTCGAATACAATTTTTATTTAAACGAGCTAGCAGAATGCTCGAACTTGAACATTCTTTTCATTACTCACGGTTGGTGGACGAGCAATCTTCTTTATGTACTCGAGGAATCGCTCATGCGCATTGCGAACGATGAATTTTCCGATTGCCTTCGTCCTTCCTGGCTGGTCCAGGATCCGTGCGTCTAATTCGAGCAGGAACAATGGGAAAAAATAATCGATTGCTCGATTATTCCACCTACCTCATCAACATTCACCGTTTCACTCGGTGAATTTAATGTTCCTTGTTTTGAATTACTCGCGAAAACGAATTTAGGTTTTTCGCGTTGTGAGAAAAAGGCGCAACGGTTCGAATACGCATAGCGATTGTTTTGGCCTAATTTGAAGGATACATAGATCTTCTGTTCCTTCTTTGCCGATAACCAGTCAATTGCATAGGACTTTTCTACTTACCACGGGTATGTATTATAATTTGTATGTAGTATGTTTATGTAAACGTTCCCAATATTTGTACTTTGATGCACGTACATAATCACGTACAGTTGCATCGAATTATTTGCATAAATGAGTTTGTTATTTAACGTTGGATACTCGAACGCTATAAACAGATCGGACGAAATCTTGAATGAAAGAAGAGACTGACGTCGAAATCTTCGAGTATCTAAAATTGTGGAATGAAAATTTCGATGTTCACAATTTATTTTTGAAAGAAAATCTCTGGCGTTTACGTAATTTATTAATTGACTCGTGAATTCGAAAAGTTCAAACTTAAAATATCGTTCTAATTACCGAGACTATGTTAATTGTATTCAGAGATCGTTCATTTCGTGACATTTCTCTTCGAAAAGAATACGTTTTTGCTGGCAAAACGAATTCGAAATTCCCAATGAATCTCATCGAAACGGTTTCAATTACGAAAGAATTCGTAATCATCGGAGATGATCGAAAAACATGCCGATCGTCTCGAAACGGCATTTAAGATTCGTGTTCATCGCCCACACGCTCCCTAACAAATAAATAAAACGAGGAAAGAAAATACTTAAGGCCGTGCTCTGTGTTCACTACAAGTATATTCATCGTCGTCACGCTATGTTGCCAACACGCAACAAGCAATCGAACCTTCCGATCCTGCTTTTTTCTTGCGAGTTTCTCATTCTTCTACTTTCTCGTATTTTGTTGAAAGAGACATTTATCCTCCAAAAGAAAATGGTAACTTTTTCTCCTATCGGTTGGATAATATTAACGAATAAACGAACGAAACATTCGGCTTGTTTTTTAGCGATCGAAACGAGACAAGCGGAACTTAAATTCTTGTAGAAGCGCCGGTATAAAATTTTTATTTTTGTCACTGTAACGTTTAATACGGACGAATGTCGTAGTTTGTTCTAGCTATAGTACGATATAAGGGAATTGTGGGTGTTTAACGAGAAACGAAAAATGATATACATTTCTATAGAGTGTAGGGATACAATTTAATCTTCGCTGTCCTGTTGTATATAAACGTAATCGATTACGAAACTCCCGGTGAATCTTTCGTTCGATCTCTAAATGTGTATCGTCGAGTTTCACCTTGTAATTGTTTGCCAGATTCCGGGTGTTTTCGGTATAACACAAAGGAAAGTATCTTTCATCGAAACAGAGCAGAAAAAGTATTTCTGAACTATTTTTGAAGCAGACACGTCCCACGGGCGCGCTGTCCGTAGAATTTAATTTGCAAACTTTCAGTGGATTATGGTAATTTCTTTGCGCTACGTTGCATGGAACCAGATCATCGATTCGTTTCCCGGCAGTCTGAATATTTAACGAAGTCGAACGAAAACGTACTCGTTAATTTCGGACGCGGTTCCACGACAGAGTCGGGTATATCCTATTTCGAATAACGAATACGGAGTAATCAATGGTTATCGAAACCAGGCTTGCACGAATAAGATTTCATTCGTTGTTCGAAAGGATGCATGAAAATCTATTCGAATAAATCTTTAATCGAACGATCACTCGAGTGAGAATTTATTCGAGTAACGCCAAACTCTGTTCCATGATAATATCCAAACGTCTCATTGAAATAAATGTACATGTACGCGCATATAAAGTATGTAAAATAAAGTGTCCAATAAGTATTCATCGCTAAGAATAGTTTTACCGATTCGTTGGCTGAATGTTGGCGAAGATATACGGTAGAACGTTAATTATCCAGATGGGTGCTACAACGTATTCGAAGGAATTTTTAAGTAGCATTCTACCGCATCCATAAAATAACGAAACACTTATCGGCCAAATAATCTGACGAACGAAACGTGCAACCATTTTAATTAAGTATCAGGCCATCAATTTTTCTACGCGAATATCGCTTCGAGTCCCACGTACGGCGCATTACAGCAACCCCCCGAACGGGCGAAATTCGTTCATTCCTTAGACGCGACTTAATCGCCATTAACCATAACCGTAATTTTAATGGTAATCACAGTAATTAACCTGTGTAAAATTATCGAGCCACTCGACGTACCGTATCAGACGATAGGGGTGTACCGCAATTAAGTAACGACGCCCGCTCTAGGCGGCGCACTATCGAATAGGCTGTCCTAACGACATACAAAGCAGAAAGTAGCGTGTAAAGTCGATGTTTAAATGCAGAAGCGTGTTAAGAGTGTAGACTAGTGTAAAATTGTCCGCGTCGACACGTTCGCGTAGCAACAACGTACCGATTTACGTGTAATTTAGACGGCAGGGCCTGTCGATTAGAAACTAAGAGTTCCCTTTTCCGAGCGTACGCGGTCTATTGTACTTGTAAATATCCAGTGCTGTTCGTCGAACGATCAGAACGCTGTTTACGAATTGTCGAACGTTGATACGAGTTTAAAAAAAATTATATCTCTATCCAGGGTTGAGCATTATTCCGATGAATGTTGTGCGTTACTTGAAATGGAAGTAGTAAAAGAAATAATTAGATGATATTTGAAACATCTGAATAAACTGTCTGTATTATCTATTATTTAAATAAAAATTTGGTCAATTCTGATTTTATCAGGATTACCGTATTCAACAAAATATTACTTACAGTTAGGACTTATTCGTACACACGGTCAAGTCTCCATTTTCGGAAACAGGAACGTTCCGAATTACTTTCCATTCATTTCGAAAGCAAATAGTTTTGATAATTCGAGAAAAGCGTTCCGCGAACAGCAATTGAGTTCTCAATCGCATCAGCGAATGATGTTTCACACAAAAGTTGCTTCCAATCGATCCAATAGCACGAAATGGATGTACGATACTCGTTGATAACACGTAACGTGTTACTCATTATTGTATATAACGATCGCCATCGTTTCGTGGAGAACGTAACGTATATTCGAATAGGTATAACGTAACAGCGAATAATCTGACTCACGAACACTTCGCCACGATGGAGAATGATGTTCCATGGCGAAACTTCGTTATTCTCGACACCAAATCAACGTTTCTGTCTGTTAAAATAACACAATTGGTTTCAATCCAGTATAACCCAACGTATGTTTCGGTCGCCAAGAAAACTTTAATTTGTCCGAGAGAATTAAGAAACATTTCGACAATTTCATTATAATAAATTCATTTCATTTAGAACTAGCACTCGAGTTAGCTCTCAAATCAGTACATCAATAATTTCTCGCGCGGAATAATTGCGAACTAATTACGAACTCCGAGACAAAGTAATTTATGAACGCGACGCGACGCGAGGAGAAGTCCCGTGAGCCGCGATTGAGGAATTATTGCGCTTCGTAACGAGTTACCAATAGATAAACCCTTCACTGGCATGCAACGTGCGTGAAGACGTTAAATTTTGTTTAAAAGTAAATCGCGAAGGAGACGGTATATATTAATGTTACGAAGAAGGAATCGCATAGATTAGAATCCCGCGGGGCTCGCCGCGTTTAAACAATCTAATGTTAGTAAATCTTCAGTCAAGTTTCACGCCGATGCGACGCGTAGATGATTCTCCTATCAACTGAGGATTTCATTGTCTCGAGGCAAAGAGATAAAGCAGTGGAGATGATCAAATGGGGATTATTCTTTATTCTTTTTCTCCCTTTAATTCTCGGCGTTAGAAGAATCATTCTGCGAGCTGACGTACGTCTAAGCGCACACGGTCGATCGTTCAAACGATAAATGGTTAATAAATGTGAAAGGACACGTCGCAACACCGATGTGGATATCTTCCACAGCTTCCACCGTCACAATCGCAGAGAAATGGAACTTAGAACTGCCAAAGAGCGAGACATTTCTAAAATTTGTAGATCGAACACTTACGTAAATTTGCAAAGCGGCGTTATCGATACACGTCGTTTACAATACGAAGGCTGGATTGGTTCGCGAATTGTGGTACTTTGTACGGGAGAGGGGACGACCTGGATCAAAAGGTGTTCCGGTGAACCAGTACCAACGAAACGGAATTATTTCGCGAGAATGTAATGGAAGAATACGACGTCACGGTGGAAAAGCGTGTTCCGTATTGGGAACGGAGTTATATGAAGTAGTATTGTAAGTAAAAACTACGATGGTATCTTGTAGATGCATTACAATGACATAGAAATATTTTTCTCATCGTCGTGTACCTCGTATTATTTTCCGTGAATGTCGTTGTCTTTTTCCTGCCGTCGAGCACAATGACACCTTCTAAATATATAAACGAAATGAAATGATGGAGGAAGTAAAAATGTTCGCGACTAACGAGAAACTAATTATAACGTTCCGTCGGTAACCCATTAACGACGAACTAAAGCTGAATCGCTATGTCATACTGTATGTTGTGTATATTATGAATGTTTAGAGGACCAAGAAATATACTGTACCGGTGTAAAAACACTCTAATCGTTTTGTTCTTTACCTCCAATATAAAAATAAAAAGGTTTCGCGACCACGAACATAAAGTGATTAGTGAAATTAGTTAATACATTACCCAAGGAATTTATCAACTGCTTGCCCCCAATAATTGGATGATATTCGCCATGACTTTCTTCAGAGTTTACGGATAGAAATTTGTTGGCGAATCACAGAAACTTCATCGAACGTAAATAGTCGTTTTTGTTGGACTCGCACATCGCTACGCTTCCACTGTTGACACATTGAGGCAAACATTTCAGGAGATTTTTCGTGCTATAATAAACTAGAAAAACAAAAATTTAAAGAACGACAAATTTTCATCATCGAAAACATCTTTCACAAATGTCGAGTTGACTTTAGTATACGAAACTTGATGCTCCGGTTTACGAGATGAGGAAATTAGGTTTAAAAAAAAAATAGAAACATATAGGGTTGTTATGCAAATCAGGTACAAAGAAAAAAATAGATAGGATTATGTAAAATAATCGCGAAGGCGGGACTTAAATATCTCGGCGTATCACCGCAGACGCGAGAAACGTATCTAATTTCACGATATCTAATTAAAGAATGACACACCTTCCGCAATAACCCGGACGGCTTCCCACATGCACACGTCAATGTAATTGGGACAATGCTTTGAAGAACGGACTTAACGCCACTTCGGTGGCTATCATACTAAACAGGACATGTCCTCAACAATTACCACCTAGATAACTTGTTCTTCGATCCTTTTGAGAATAAATGATAATCGAGTGGCCGTTAATTAATAATACATTAGCTATTAATAATTCTTTTTATTCCAAATTTGTTTCATAGACGAGTACCAATAACAAGTGTTCGAGAAACCTGATGAACTTACTCTGGCCGAAGGAAATAAGTGTAACTTAAATCTATTTAACAATTAAGTTGTGAATTAAATGTTCGTTTTTTAAACATAAAATTCATGGAATGCCCAAGGGTTAATTTCCATATTGTAATCCGGAATCTTTTGAGACTATGGTTTCACGAGGTAAGTCTATAGTTTTAAGTCGCTAATAAATACTTCACAGTTGTTCAATAAATAATAATTTAATCGTACTTCTAAATATCTTTATATCAATCGCGCAGATCCTCGTAAAGTTAAGCAAGTGTAAGTACAACATAAACCAGTCGTTGCCAACCATTCTTCATCGTTAGCGTTAATAAATAATATTCTTTTTGTGCAGTTTTCGAGTCGATGGAATTTTTGACAACATAAATGAAGTTGGTCATTTATGAAAGAGGAATGAAAAAATTGAAATTATATGTGTGTAACAAAAGAGAGGATATTATTTCTATCCAAATTCTTTCGTTAAAATAATATAAATTATTCAAACAGGACAAAACGTGCACGTGATAATAATACAATTAAGGTACAATACAAATTCCTACAGCATTCATACAAGGAGGAAACACCTTTACCCATGCAATGAAAGATTAATATAAATACTAATTGAAAATTAAGAAAGTAACAGCTCTATGATTTCGCTAAGTTTTACAAGTGAGCTTCGGAACATCTTTAAATGTACCTGTACTGTTACATACAATCTTAAATTTCGAAATTCACACGAAATCATACAAAAGCCTTCGCACCTCGTTCGTATGAAGAACAAGGATCCCTTCTAAGGTCTTAGAACCCAGGAACCTTGACCCCATCGGGCACACGGAAGATCCTCTCCTCCAGTGGAAGTTCACCTATGAGAAACCTGTCCAAAATCCGCGTGGCAGCTCTCGTGTGTCCAGTGCCTATGAAAGCCAACGTGGCGTCCCTGCCAGCATACTCGAGTATAACGTCCGAGCCACCAGGATGGTTCTTCAAAAAATCCGTGCAGTCGTAAACGAAATCACGAATGCAAATCCAGCAATTGTCCGCGGTGTCATGCCAGGCGACTTCGTCCAAGTTGATCGTCTTCAACTCCTTCGATTTCTGCTTGCTGGAGGATGTCAACTCCTCGTTGCTCTGCCTCGACGAGTCTCGATCGTCCTCAATGTCGTCATCCAGGTTGAGAAAATCACTTTGCGGCGGCGTTGAATCCTTCAAGTCGAGGGACCTGAAGGTTAAACTACGGAGATCCATCGCGTCTATCGGCTCGCACTCGTTCGACCTGAAAGCAAACAGATCTACGATGATCTCGCGGTGCAAAAATCACGGAAGGTAGCGTTTCAAAAATTCATTTTCACTATTTATACACGCAACGGTTTTCGATCAATTTAGCGAGCAATTCCTATTTTATTTTCGCAATTAGCCACAAGCACGTCACTTTGTGTTTTCGTTATTATTAAATAGCTTCGTATTATCATTATTTGCACCATTCTACTTTCCCCTAAAATGCATATTCCTTTAATAAGGCAGCATCTAAGACGATAGCTTAGAAGTATAGATTCCCCCTAGGTTGGATTATTTAACTGGCGCATCAATTCCTCCCCTCCTTTCGCCCTTCGAGTATTAAGTATCGCCGCGTTTGATGAATCGACGTGGCGTGCGATGCGACATCCTGTCATTAGAAGTAAAATAATTTACATAAGAAAATGACAGAGCGCGATGAGGGAATATTCAAAGAAATTATGTAGACCCGGTTCTAAGTTCTGACAATAAAAAATACTAGGAAGTACGTCAAATTAAACCCTTATTAATACTTTAACTATAGTCGTTCGCTTTGTTACGTACGTGGATGGCATTAGAACAGGAGCGTCGATAAATATTTTAATGCTTCATTAAAGTCCTCGCGTTCTAAAGAATTGCGGCTTCGTGAGAAATGCTAAACGAATACTATTCTCGTGACCTCTGGACAGAATAGATCACCGAGAGTTTAATCTACCAGTGCAACGTTATTCTCATCGATATTTCTTACTCCGTCGTTGAGAAACGATTGACGGATATACTGGAGAAATTATGGCTAAAAACATGAATGATACAGGTCAGATTTTTACATGGTTCGATATATTCTTTATAAAATACGAAGGAACACCTAATCGAAAATCAACTCTAGGATGGAAAGATCGAGTTAATTTTACTCCTTGCATTACCTTTTGTTACTTCTTTACACTTTATTAAAAACTTATATTTAAAATTTATTGTTATTTTTAACCACGTTGATAGCTTATCCCTTGATACTTTATGTACTAATGAAAAGAACGGTAAAAAATTGGGTATTTTGAAAAGTAGTAAAAATTACTCAATCTTTTCATTAAAAGACTAAACAGTGATCTTTCCGTTTTACGGTTAAAGAAGATAACCAGAACATTAGATTGGAATGTAGAATTTACGCTTTCGTAATATTTTTCCAGAGCCTCACGTCGAGATCAACCTTTTAGATGACAATCCAAATTACAAGACAATTATGAAGGATTTGTTCCTTTGCGGACAGCATCCTCGTCAAAAGAATTTCGAACGGGTATTCCGTTCCGTTTTTCTATCATCCAGCGTGATAAGCATGCTAATTCCTATCGTAAGTAAATTAATATTTCGCAATGTATCGAGACAAATCAATGGAACAAACATCTTTTTCAATAGAAACGTTTCATTTGATAGTGGATCCATTTCTTAGGATGTATAATGGCTAAAGATATGGATGGAGTGTTGTACGCTGTACCAATTTTGAACACGGATATACTTTCACTGATAAAATTGGGAAGCCTCATCCTCAACAGAGAAAAAGTATTTAATCACTCTATTGCGAAGGATAATTCGAAATGCAAAAGAAAAACATCATGAAAATCAATGAATTGCAGTTTCTAGAATTACACGGTCTTATAATAGAGGAGTGGAATACGGTCAAGACCAAAGATGAAATACGTATTCTGGACACCGTTACTCGTAGAGGAAGTAAACTTGCGAACATGTACAGAAGTAGGTGCATTATTGTAATTTTAAGTTGCAAACGAGTATTTCTAAATGACAGATCCTTGTTTAATCAGGTAGCGCTAGAAGCAAATCATTTCATGAATCTTTGCCTTTGTTTTCAGTGGGATCATTGTTACGTACGTTTGTGATAAATTAAATTTTAAACAGCGAAACAAAGAAAGAATGATGAAACGACCTTTCTTATTTTTCACGAATTTTAATTATATACATTTTTTTTTAGTTACTATCTTTATGAGTGCGTTGGTACTTTCAATAGTTCCATTGTTTAGTCCTCTTCTGGATGTTATTAAACCGCTAAATGAAAGTCGACCGCGGCCGCAAGTTTTCGAAGTAGATTATCTCATAGACAACGACGAATACTTTTATCCTATAATGCTCCACCTCGCCTATGCATTGTTTATACTCGCCGCAGTGATATACTCTGTAGATTCTCAGTACATGGTCTTCAGTCACCACGCCTGTGCATTATTCGCCTTATGTGGGTAAATACAAGCGTACATTTAAATACTCCACGATGTACTTAATCGATAATGCACAAGATCATTTCGATATATTCAAAAATTCATGGTCACCCGAAGCTAATATACTACACAAAGTCCCCCGTAGGTATAAACCTTCCACCCCATAACTCTGTTATTGAGTGGTAGGACTGTCCAGATCCTCCCTCTGGTCAACTACTTAGACTATACGATACTATTTCTCCATAACAGCGAAAAAGTTCGACCCTTTGTTCAGTCCCCCTCTCATTTGTTGTCATTTCTGTACTAACCTTGAATATGGTGAGAACTGTTACTAAATCTCTATTTGGGAACAACTTCGAACGAATCCCCAACGAATATATATATGTGCGTACAAATTAAACATTCTTTTCACTGATCGCTATAGGCACGAGCTTAAACGAGCAACGGAAAATGTTGGTAACAATAAAAACGCTGTTGTGGAGGACATATATAAACAGATCAGAGATTGCATACTCCTTCATAAAAAAGCACTCAGGTCTGTATCGATTGATAACGAATTAAAAGCAGACTACGTACAGAACACAAGTAACTCATTCTAATTTTCTAATTGAAGGTTTTACGAAATCCTCAATGATATGAACCGAAAGGGATTCCTGTTAACGATCGGTATGAATATGATTTCTATAAGCATGACGATGGTCCAAGTAAGTAATTATATCAGTCTTATAATTACCTCGCTGACCGATCGAACTGTTCGTTAGCAATTTTATTTTTCAGTTGGTCATATACATGGATCAACCAGCGGAACAAACCAAGAGTTTTAGTTTCCTCATTGCCCAGCTGTTCCACGTGTTCTTCATCAGCCTGCCTGGGCAAAGGATCCTGGATTACAGTTTCGAATTAGCTGAAAATATGTACGTTCGTGACGTGTAGGAAGGAGGATACAGTTTTTAATAACTTTATATAAACACGAGGTTAACGTTACTCAATTCTTGCGATAGATACGGCTCCACTTGGTACGAAACGCCCATCAGGGTGCAAAGATTACTTCTCACAATGAAGTTAAGATGCAGCATACCGTGTCAAATAACTGCGGGGGGATTGTACGACATGAACATGGAGAACTTTGGAAATGTATGTTGTAATACCTAATCGGAGTACTTCTAACAATGTCCACTTATGGATATGTATATATTTTAAGATATTCAAGACCAGCATGTCGTATTTCACGATGCTGACGTCAGTGAGGGAATAATTCGTCAAATTACCACTGTAACTTCGTAGTGGCCTTTACGTCAGAACATGATAAAGACAGACAAGTGTAATTACTTTCAATATAATCAAACAAAATTACTGCGACACTCGATGAACATTATTTTATGAACTTGGAAGACGCTAATGAGCCCGTGTAAGTAGAAAAAGTAGGCGAACTGGAAGGTAACACCAGAACTTTTTAAGGAGTCATCTTCTCTGAGAATATATAGTATACAAAGAGTTATCTCTTGATAAGCTTCACATAACAAATATGGACGATATTGCACATGATGGATATGTTTATGTTATATATAATTCCTGCGGTACTCTTGATAGTAGATAATTGTACCGTTAATTAACAGTACCGATTTAATCCAAATATCATCGATTTTTAAGTGCCCAAATCTTCGAATTTATAGCGTGAATAGCTTATTTAGCGCATTTACAAACAGACACTTTCCTAAAACAATATCGTACCAAGGATTTAGCATTCGCTCATCGAGACACTGAGATCGCAATTTCAAAAGCAAGTACAACCTATTACACTGTAACTAATTACTTTGGTAAATCCTCAAAGCTCGCCTCCATTTCCCAGGAACCTTCACCTATGCACCTTGTCGCTGCACGGATATTGCGAACAATACTGAAAGCCATCGAGAACTCGTGTCCCCTCCTTAGCAAAATAATTCCGTTACCTGTGGAAACCCGATGAGTGGAAGGAAGGCGTTTCCCTGACCACTCGTTATCTTGGTAATTCAACTCTGTCTCGAGCTGGAGTCGTTGGAGCTTGCACCGACCAAGTTGAACTAGCTTTGTGCTTAGAAATTCTGGGATCTTGTGTCCCAGCATTAGTTGACTCTCTTGTCGCGTTAATATTCAACTTCGAGGAAGCCAATTTGAACTCCTTTGCTCTTAGCATCTTCGAGTAACCAGTTTAGCGAACAATTTTACTTCTGCTACTCACACCTTACCACGAGTATCTTCATCTTCCACTTATATTTCCCATATATCCACAATGAAATAACTAAAATACCTAGAATATGTATAAATCTAATAATGAGTAATCTAAACGATAGACACTAGCGCACATTGCACCTGATTTTTTAATTGTCACAATTTTCTGCCACTGCGTGTACCGTATCACTCTGCTCCGAATGCCGCATCGAGCATGAGTGAAATACTACTCGGTAGACATTCTTCTGTAGAAAGAACATAAAAGAAACCCGCAACCTTGTGGTTTCACCCTTCGCGTACCTACAAAGTTGCAAAGATTCATCCCCCAACATAGTAATTTCCGTTCCCCCCTTTTCCCCGTCCTCGTGCGGCGACTGATCAATCGACATGCGCTGCATCGCTTTTTTTTGTAATTACATCGAAAATGAGACGTATAAGAAAATGACAAGGCTCGGGAGGGAGGGTAGATAAGAAAATGATAGACCCAGCGAAAATAGACAAGTGTCCTTACAATTTTAATATTTTAAATACGATCCTAGCTATGCTACGTTCGCAGATCTCAATCATTCGACGGGAGATAAGCCGCCGATGAATATTTCAATCGGTCATCAAAGTCCTTTTACTTTCTAAAGAAATGTGCTACCGCGCAAAGAGCGAATACTTCTCGCGTGATTCCCGAACGGAATACGTCATTGAAACTTTCATATATCAGTACCCCGCTGTACAACTAAATTGCTCGTGGCATCGTAGAGCATTGACTTCCTCGTTGATTGCCACATTGTCGCGAGGAATCAATTGACGTAAAGGATATCAAAAGACTTAGCTAGGGAAGAATGACGGCCACTGGTGAGCTTTATTATTTTTTAAACAGTTTTACGTATGTAAATTTTGCAAATGAATCTACGCAAATTTAATAAAACGTCTGCTCGGTCAGCAATTTTGATGTTCCATATTTATTTCATCCCTGTTCCGAAGTATCAACATACAATCAAATTGTCAGCTACACGTACGTTCGTAATTTTTCTCCAGTGTTTAATAGCAATGACAGCAGTTTAGACGAGAATCCACTTTATAAAAAGATTATGAAGGATTTGACGACCTTAGGGCTGCATCCTAATCAAAACAATCAACTCGGCAGAATTCGTTTTGCGATATTGTTGAGCGGCATATTGACCATGTTGATTCCAATTGTGAGTAATTTAATATAATAAAAGCACTTTGAAAGTGACGAGTTATAAACGTCGGAAGAGCCAACTGAAAAACGTCCTTTTTCGTTCATAAATTGAAACATTCTGTTCGAGAGGGGATACAAGTGTTCACATCGATACTCGCAAAGGATATCGATGGAGTGATGTACGCTATACCTGTTATGAACACGGACCTGGTTTCGCTGATAAAGGGAGTGACCCTCAACTCCAACAGGGAACAAGTAATTACTCGGTCTGCCGCGAAAGGGAATTTTTCCACTTTAGAAATAACAATGACGAAATCAAATGTATTGCAGTTTAAAGAAATGTACAACCTTGTGGCAGAAGAGTGGGTGTCGTTGAAGTCCAAGGATGAAATTCGCACTCTGGAAAGCATAACCCGCAGAGGAACTCAACTTGCCAATCTGTACAGAGGTAGGTATAATAATTTCTCGATATGGACAGATATTTCTAAGCGACAAGTCTTTGTTGTAATAGCTAGCAAGACAAGGAAACCATTTTATGATTGATTTAAAGAAATAATGTTTCCTCCCTAAAGATTATGGAGTTATCATATAATAATGATTTGCATACCCCTTCGTGCCCTTTATAATGACACTTTAACCACTTGCACTACCAATAAACTCACGGCAGCGCATGTAATTTTTATTGCTGCGACAAATGCCTATCAACATCGACGTGGTATACACGTTGTTTGCAATTTTAGAACAGAACCATCTCGACGTGCGTGGCACGTCTTTCTAGCGCAAGTGGTTCAGTGTAAATACCAGCATAAAATTTGAAACAGCACAACATAGAAGAAGTTGCGAAGTGATCTATCGGCGAGGGCATTTTTTCGAATGTTTTACAAACTTTTGAACTAACAGCTTTCATATTTTTTTAGCTGGTATCATAGTTGGCTGTCTAACGCTCGCCGTGGTCCCACTGATTTACCCCCTTCTGGACATGGTTCTACCGCGAAATGAAACTCGACTACGTCAACAAATGTTTGAACTGAATTATTTGGTAGACGGTGACGAATACTTCTATCCGATATACTTTCACCTGATGTGTACCTTCACTATAGTGTGCGTACTACTTTACACCGTAGATTGTCAGTACATGGTCTTCTCCCACCACACCTGCGGATTGTTCGCCATATGCGGGTAAATGTAAGAAGCACTATCCGCGGGAGTAATTACAAAAGTGTCCATGAATCTATTCATGTATTTGCACATTCGAAATAGAAATGTATATGTTTAATCGAAGACTTGAAATCAATGTAGGTATCAAATTCAACGAGCAACAGAAAGCGTTGGTGCAAACACTAAGGATGCTGCTACGAACAAGGCCATATATCAAGAGTTCAAGGACTGCGTGGTATTTCACCATAAAGCGATCAAGTTCGTACTGTTCGTACTTCGATGAACCGGAGGGAGAAGATAATAAATAATTTTATTAACACCTTGTTCGCGTTTGAAGGTTTTACGATTTCATGAATCAAATGAACCGGAAAGGATACTTGCTCACTATTGGGCTAAATATGCTCTGCATTAGTGTCACAGCTGTTCAAGTAAGTAGTATATACGTATAGCGACACAGAAGTATCGAAGGTTGAGAATTGTTCCCTCGATTAACGAGCTTGCGCCATTTCCATCGCTATTGCTGTATCTCGACCATTCGATATACATTCGATATTGCATAACACTTTTATACTGCAGCTGGTTATGTATATCGATCAACCGGCGGAGTTTCTCAAAATTTTTATTTTCCTCCTTGGCCAAAAGTATCACTTGTTCTTCATCAGTCTCCCTGGACAGAGAATGGTGGATTACAGTTTGGGATTAGCTGAGAATCTGTACGTTCACGATGAATATAATTGTTGACAACCTTCCCAACGATCAACAGTAATATTTTTGCGAATTTTGCGACAGATATAGCTCCAATTGGTACGACACACCGGTGTCAGTGCAAAAAATACTTTACACGATGCAAATAAGATGCAGTATACCGTGTACGTTCAGTGCAGGGGGGTTGTACGACATGAACATGGAGAACTTTGGAATGGTATGTAATTCAGGGGATGTGCTAGTCGATCAACTGTATTATACGTTACGATTGTCGATAAATGCTTTTCGATTTTAAGATAATTAAGAGCTGCGTGTCGTATTTTACGATGTTGACGTCGGTGAGGGAATAACTCGTCGTTACTACTGGAAAACATTTTAATGATTGGAGCAACGATGTAGTAGAATTTTGTATGATCTCGAGACGGAATAAAATGACTCGTCAAGGTTGCCATTCCTGATCTATTCTTTGGCTACCCTTCGAATATTTTAAACTAATCCTAAAGATCAACTGGTATTGATCAAAACATGAATGCTCTTCCTAAATTATGATAAAATGATTCTAGATTTAGGTTCGCTGTTTCTGATCGTGAAATAAAACTGAAGGTGGCTAGAGTGACTATTATAAATGAAGAGCATTGCTATATTAATCCGCCACCTTTAGTCAAGTCTTTCGAAAAGAGGAGAACGCGGAGAATACACGTGCGTAATTATTTCATTTTTCCAACCGCGTGCAACATGCACGACTGTCAAAGCATACGATCGCTTCCGCGTCCTCCCCATAATCTTCTCCGACCCTAAGCGTGGCTTGGCAAGCTTGTAATTATCGCTCGTAACCTGAAGCCATTCCTTTTTTCTGATCCACCTGCTATACGTCTATTATAAGTCTCCTGTAACTACCTTTATACCGTTGTAGAATATTACCTTATCTGTTATCCGAAATTTTTAGTAGTCAGCTCACGGCGATTAGTCGTTTGTTTAACGAAGGCTCAAGTTTGAGTTCAAATAGCGCAACTGTTCAAAACTCCAAGTTTGTAGCGTAAAATAATGCAACGTTTAAAATTTAAATGCTCTTCGCTAACCAGTTTCTTTTCCTGCCACTGTGTCTCAGAATTGATCCATTTTTTTTTTTGCCATGTTGGTAAAAAATTTTACCATTTTGACTTCCACGTTTATTTTCCACGCGTTCTCACTCGAAAATATAAAATATATTACGATAGAAATTTCCTTCTCAAAAACCCTTCTTGGGCGAGCGTTGAAAGTGACTTTTCGTCTTCCATAACACTCTTTTCATCCTTTTACCACTGTGCTAACCACGCCATCTTCCTCCAAAGCAGTATCGAGCACGACTGAAGGAGTTTTCCCCGCATCTATTAGAAGTTAAGAAAGATTGCAACCTTTCAAGGTAGATTCGTGGCGCGCACTTCCATGTAGTTGCAAAGTTTCATCGTTTGGCTGACATAGCAATTACCTTCCACTATCCCCTTCCCGTTCATTATTAACAATCATCCTGCATGAACAGATCAATCGACGAACCATACATTATGGCATCGTTTTCAAATTGCCGCAAAAATGAAATGTGTAAGAAAATGGCATGGTTCGTGAAAAGGGAATAAGTAAACGATATTAGTCCCCGCGAGTCCTGTACTTCGACAATAAAAAATATAGAGAGTACTGGTAAATTATATCCGTATAATTTTGTATAGAATCGTCGCTATGTCTCGATCACGGAAGTCAATCGTTCGACAAGAGATAGGATAAATTGTCGATGAATATTTCAGTGAAGGTCCTTTGATTTTTTTCGAATGTGGCCTCGGTACGACATGAGCAGCAGATATTTCTCTCATGGCTTTCGAACAGGATACACCGGTAAAAGCTTTATCTACCAGTTTTGTACACTGCTGATACCAAAGTAAACCGCTGGTGTCGTGTAATATTGTTTTCGCGGCGAAGGAACGATTCAAAAAAGCATCGGAGAAATTAATATCGGAAAAATGACCGCCACAGGTGAAATTAATGATATTTTTGGCAATACTTGGTACGTTAAGGCACGTCCTGTGAAGATATCGTCGAAATTGATCTTCCTAGTGAAACCTCGTGTTACAGTTGTCAAACTTTCGCTTTCTTTAACGTTGACACCCAACAGACTCCTCACCAATTACGCTCAAGTTCGTAATATTTCATCAGTGTTTCAGAGCAACGACAGGTTAATGGACAATCCATATTATACTAGGGCGTTGAAGGATCTAATAATAATAGGACAGCATCCATATCAAAGCGACCGGGTCCGCAGATTTCGTTTCTTCGCGATACTATCCATCATAACGAGCATGCTAATTCCAATCGTAAGTAAATTAATGTTTCGCGGCATGTAACTCAATCGACGTAATTTTTACGATGCCAGATTAGTCTAAACAAATATCCGAGTACGAAGAAAACGGCATGGTCCGATTGAGAGAAATCGGACGATACCGTTTCTCGTTTGTCAATTGAAACGTTCTGTTCGAGAGTGGATACAAATGTTCACATCGATACTCGCGAGGGACATCGACGGAGTGATGTACGCTATACCAATCATGAACACGGATATAGTTTCGGTGATAAAATTAGTGAGCCTCAACGCCAACAAAGAACAAGTATTTACACGCTCTATCGCGAGATGAATTTAACATAGGAATCCAAATCATGAGAGACAATGTATTGCAGTTCAAGGAAATGTATAATCTTGTGACGGAGGAATGGGAGTCGTTGAAGACCAAAGATGAAGTACAAACTCTGGCGAACGTTACACGGAGAGGAAACGAACTTGCTCACGTGTACAGAAGTACGTTATCGCCATCTCCACGACAATTGAAATATATCCCTTAAAAATATCCATTTCGTCAAAATAATTTAGTTTACTTTTCGAAACGTTCGCTCTTCGGAGCGAATGCCGCGGCAAACGCTGTGTGAAGTGCAACAATTGATCGCGTACATATATTTCAGTCAGTATCGTAATGTGTTGTACAACGGTTATCGTGGTCCCACTGATGTATCCATTTCTGGATATCATTCTACCTCGAAACGAATCACGAATACGACAACAGTCATTCGTGTTGAATTACTTGGTGGACGGGGACAAATACTTTTATCATATATACGTTCACTTGTTTTTCTGCGTGGCTGCTGTTGGTATGACATATTACACAATCGATTGTCAGTACATGGTCTTCACTCACCACGCCTGCGGATTGTTCGCGTTATGCGGGTAAATAATAAATAATTAAATCGAACCTAAGCAACCCTTTAGTACGATGTCACCTTCTCCGAGGACACGTAGTATCCCGGTATCCAATCATCGACTCGATTTGCTACCGTTCTATATCAATTAATTATTTACGAGCTGATATCGCCATAGGTATCAAATTCAACGAGCAACAGAAACTTTCAGTTCAGACGCTAAAGACGCTGTCGTGAAGAGGGCCACGTACCAAGACTTCAAGAACTGCATGCTCGTTCACCAAAAAGCTATCAAGTATTCGTACTATCTAAATACCAATAAATCCGAGAAAAAGAATAACAAACAATGTACGGAATATTACCAACTCATTCCACTGTTTTGTAATTGAAGGTTTTACGAGCTCATGAATGACATAAACCAAATAGGCTACTTACTTACAATCGGGCTCAACATGCTCTGCATAAGTGTCACAGCTGTTCAAGTAAGTAGCAGTGCAAAACTACAGTAGAACTCCGTTTACTCCAAATCCAGATAACTGGAATTGACGGATTCGCATAAACGCATACGTTGCGTGAGACGAGTTCGGATAACAGGAGCTCGCCAAAATTTTGGAATAACCAAGTACCGTTTCGTCGTTGGTTCTGATAAATAGAATTCTACTGTTCCTCGCTAACTGAAAGAATTGTTCCCCTCGCTCATTCGAGGTTCGCCCTAGTATATCGCATAATGTGTTTCATTCGCATTTTCTGTTATCAGCTGATTATGTACATCGACCAACCGACGGAGTTGATCAAAGTACTCGTTTTCCTGTGTGCCCAGAAATTTCACTTGTTCTTCATCAGTCTGCCTGGGCAAAGAATGCTGGATTACAGTTTAGAATTAGCCGAAAATGTGTATGTTCACGGTGCAGTATAACGAAGAACGTCGTTTTCGACAACTTCGCCAACAATCATTCCGAGTTTACTGTTTCGTGATCATAGATACGGCTCCAATTGGTACGAGACACCAGTGAGAATACAAAAAATATGTTACATGATGCAAATAAGATGCAGCCTGCCGTGCACGTTTACCGCAGGAGGATTGTATGACATGAACATGGAGAACTTTGGAATGGTACGTAGCGATGCTTAAGGAAGGAAAATAAATTTAGACGACTTTATTTATTGCTTTGCTGCTCCACCCTTAAAATGAGGCTCTTAAGTTTGACCAATTATGTCTGAGAAAAATGTACGAATCAATGAATTGTTTAATTATTATCAACTAATAAATAGGTTTTTATATTCAGATTATTAAAACCTGCATGTCATACTTTACGATGTTGGTGTCAGTAAGAGAATAGCTTGTGACTGCTACTGGGAAATCTTCTCGGAGTGATTGGAACATCGATATATTAGATTTTTGTACGTAAGGTTTACTTAGGTTACAGAGATCGCCATTACCGCGATAGAAGAAAGCAATAGACCTAAATACAACACTTGAAAATAAAAGTTCCTTTTCATTGGTTTGCTCGTTCTCTGGTTTCTCGATAAATGATGTTACCGATTTTCACGATTACCGCACAGTAAGCGAACACGCAACGTCTAGAAAGTCCAGATAAACTCCCAGTGATCTCTTCCACGCGTCGCGTTCCGCTTCATTTCACATACGAAAGAAAAAGAAACAGGAAAAGTATTCCTTATCATACCATTTTAGTAATTGTCGGTACGAACGAATATAGAGTCGTTCCGACTCCACGCGTAACCTGATAAATGAATTATTATCGTTCGTTGCGTTGACCTTTCTTTTCCGCTATCATAAAATCCCACGATATGTACCAAGTAAATAAAAATACGTAACACTGAAGTACATGTATATAAATTATTATCGTGGATACCCATTCTCCTGGTTTATTACCCGTCATAACGAATGCCACACGAAGAAATGAGTCGGAGTACTAACTTACCTCCATTTCAGACAACCAGGTGAAACGAGGTATTAATAAAAATCATGTACTCCCATTAAATCCACCAAAAAGGCTCTTGGTTTCGATCCTCCTGAGATCGCAATTCGAGAAGATACTGAAACCACTCACTCTGGCTGATCCGACGAGCACTCCTCCATTATCCAGGAACCTCCAGCTACCTACACGCGTTCTCACTGCGGGGACATTGAACACGGCACTGAAAGCCATCGAATCATGTCCCCTCCAAGGGAAGGAAAATAATTCCATTACCAGTAGAAACCCGATGCGTGCCAGACAGGTGTTCGCCTGACCACGCACTGTCTCGGTAATCTAACTCTCGAACTACATAGAGTCGTTGGATGCTTACACCAACCAGATTGGACTATCTTCTGGTGTCTTTTTCGCGTGTCTTAGAATTGGTCCATCCTCTGAGAGAATTTTTATTTTCAGCTGTGCTGGTAACAAGCAAGAGATAGTCTTATCCAATTGTCGACAATGCTGTACTTGTTTATTGTTAAACATTACAATCATCAGGTCGCGATTCGAACCATGACTACCAGTCTTGGCGCAAACACAATATAAAAAATGTCCGAACACAAATTCGTACTCCTTTCCACCTTTAAAACGAGACTCCTAACATTCCTAAGTTTGACCAATTATTTCTGAGACTATTCCAGCATCATTCATTAAACAAGAACATTCCACCACTAGAACTTCCAACCAACGTGGTAGTTTTAATGTCAAATAGTATATCTTAAGAATGAAAGTTTCTTTCACTGTAAAAATGAAATTTCTTTCATGTTTAATTTACGATTAGAAATCATAAACAATTATTATCTCCGTGTTTGTTGCCAATATTCCACAGATGTTACGTAAATATGTCTACGTAATCGAGAAATTTTTCGCATTATGCTGTCGATAACTTAATTTTCTAGTAGATATTGTTGAAATAAATAACGTTACATCATCGACGCGACATTGCCCATGTAACGACTACCAGATCATTGTTTATACGAAGAGGATCTAGCGAGAATAAAAGATCTTTAATCGCAGAATCATTAAATACGTATGAATCAATGAAATTGAAATCAACGGCTCCAATCAAACTTGATATTTCTTGTTTAGATATTTTAGCGTTAACTTAGAATTAACAAATTTACGAACGATAACTTTTTATTGGTATTATTTATCAATTTTCGGTACTCACCAGAGATTGTTGCACAGTTTCAATCCTCTTTGCCCAATTATAATCCACTTATGATGACCAGTTTCTCGGTAGAAAAAAAATAAATTATTTTAAAATAATTCCTCCAACGATAGTCAAAGTTACTGCATTACTTTCCCTATAGGCAGTAGAATTTAAAGAAGACACTAATCGATACCGAGGTGGAACCTCGACTCGCGGTTCATACGGTTCCGAGCAATGATTCTGCTATTTATATTGAAGTTCATTAACGCGATATCGTTTCTCTGCTCACAGTGCATTGAAAGCTTATCGCGAGAAGTAGCGAGGCATACGCTGAAGTTTTTGGCGTTTCCCAAATCGCTTGTAATTCGATAATTACACGAGTCTATCGGACGTAACAACGAACGTTTACTATTTGTGGCAATAGTCGTTTTCAGTAGTTATGTGAGTGATCAAGAGGTCGAGAGGTTAATCGCACAGCGTGACGAAATCATGCGACTATATCCCCTTCTCCAATTGATAGTCATACAATAAGAAAAATGATTTGGCATTGCCAGAGATCTAGTTTCGGGTATTATCGAATTTGTTGATGGAAAAATTTACGAATCACAGTTGAAGCAGCGGGATTTGAAATCTTATCGTGATAAACTTAATTTCAATACAATATCAATTAGCTTACATATCATATTATGCTTATAGAATAGCTAAGAATTTATTATTTAATGTGTTCATGCAGTTTTTGTGAGTATTATTATTGAATAGTTTCAACTTTACGCCGCCAGATGCCGCCAGGAATACAAATCTTTTTTAAAAATACTAAAAGGCAAGAAAACTTGTCCCGAATGAATATGAATATGGTTCAAGACCGTGCTGTGCTTCTAGTATAATCAAATATTCAAAATTTGACGTAATAAAACAGTTGATAACGATAAACTGTAATGTCGGTATAGATATAAGTTAATGTCACCATCTAGCGGTTTCGCCGTAGATGGCGCCACCGATGTGTATATTATGTGTATATTATGAAGGTTTACCCATATTATATTTTAATGTAGATTAAATAAAAGTTTTGATTGAATAACAATTTCTGGTATTTATTTTAAACGATCTCTCTTGCTTAATGGATTGACAGAAAGTGTGTTTTAAATATTTGAAAGGCAAACAAAATTAAAGTATGTTTCACAAAAGACAATCAAATGAATAACATCGAGTATCATCGAGTTACAGTTAGTTCTTCTTTATCGACGGTCTTCATAAATCTTCTTATCGACGATGATGAGTGCGTCTATCACAATATATTTAAAATGACGAAAACTGCGTGAACACATTAATTAACAAATGTTTACACATACTACAAGCATAATATAGTCTAAAACCATACTATTATTCATCTGGAATAAGGTTTCTCGCCTTTTAGTTTTTTACAGAAATTTTATATTCCTGGCGGCATCTGGCGGCAAAAGGTTGAAACTATTTCTCGACAAACATGGACGTTCTGCCGTAGATGGCGCCACCGTCGTGTATATATTTTCAAATTATTTAATATTCACAAAAACTGCATGAACATATTAAATAATAAATTTTTAGCTATTGTACAAGCATAATACGATATGTAAGCTAATTGGTATTGTATTAAAATTAAGTTTATCGATTTCTTTAAACTGCTGGCGGCATCTAGCGGTGGAAATCTGGAACTTTTTGCCAACAAGTGTCGGCGCACAAATATGATCTCGCCTAAAAATGATCAATAACTAACCAGTAACAAACAAAATCGTATCAACATTGGTCTTTGAATGTTACTAATGATTCAAACTTCATTCCTTGCGTATCAGAGTGCAAAGATCGGCTGTAGATAGTTAAGGAACAATCAATTCAAAAAATGATCGATCTTCATCGAAAACCAAACTCTCGATTCCTCCCCGTAAAAGTTTTCCATCGAGGTGGACAAATTTCAAACCTGAAATCAATAACTCTCCAGTTACAGATACAGTTTAAGTTGCACTGTGCGCAATAAAGAATAGAGAAAAAGGCCAATAACAATTGTTATTCAAACGAGGGTCTATTGGAATAAATTGCAATCCAAGAAGAAGGTCCTCCGATGAAATCGTTAATCGCGTGTAATTTTAACGAAACAGATCGGCTACATTTTTTACGTGGAACGTTTTAAATTTTAATTCGACGAATCGTTTCGCGTGGAAGGCAACAAAGTCGTGGATGACCCCTTTTCCCTTGTCGACAATAAAATCTATTGAATTTTACAAAGTACGTTACAGAAGTGGCTGCCTTCGATTTTCCGGTAAACGCCGCCGCGCCTCGATTTTCCGACCAGTGCGCACATATTCTACCCTACATTCGAAATATGTACTACATAGGTTGCGCGACACGTACGTAAATGCGTTCCACCGTCTCCCCCTATTTTATACTCTTATTTATATACGGTGCGTTACTTAGGGGAGGGAACTTTCTTCGAACTGAAATCTTGTTTTATACGGAGAAAACAACGGAACGCGAGGGAGAACCATTCCTGTGAACCAATTCCGCTCGGAGACAGAACGAGGAAACGTTCAAGTTTCCCTCGAAACGATGCTGGGAAGCTTTGGGAAAAAAGTTCTTCGTATTTACAATTTTTCAGTGTTTGATAAGCCTCCAGAAATACGAGTAGGCGTAAGTAGACTTTACTTCAAGTCCTAACGTTTTGAAAATCAAATCTATGTTTGTCAAATTCTCCGAGAAGAATGGCGTACTTTGTTCTATTAAAAATAATCGCTCTCTATGCGATCTTCGATCTTTTAATTTTGTAAAATAAAAATCTTTTTTAATTATAGAAGCGACACGCGTATTAATAACGACGCTGCGTTATTATCGAAGTAGAATATTATCGGATACAACTTGGCCAATAAAGGTTATCGCTGACCAGATATTAGAGAAGTTCTGGCCGTGATGCAGCTGCAAAATGAATTCGAAGTCGACTCACCGTTTCGATCCAACTGACAGACCTCACCAGAAGAGCGAGCATTATTGAATTTATATTCTATCGATAGTACGTTAACGTGGAGTTCGCAACTACTGTCCTAAACTGTAATAGGCAATTGGAGTAACAAAGTTCATGAGTCTAAGCAAAACAGAGTCCAAACTCGTACGAACTCATTGATACGTTTAAAACTTTGCAAGCATCTTTCCAGCATTTTGAGCTTGTAGCGACTCTAAAACGAAAAATACAAGAGGCTCCAGAGTTCGAATTTTGGCCAAACCAACACCTTCTCCTTCGTCGCCTAGGAAAACCTGTGGTGAGGATCACGGATGGGCATCTGGACGCGCGTAACGGCGATCGCTCGAGTGAATCCCGCCCGTGTCTGGCACGGTGCTCGGTCCGCGAATCGCGGCCATCGGTGTATCGAACAGCGCATGTGTCCCGTGGGCACCGTCGACGAGAGGCGCCACGACGCCGGCGTCGAGACGGCGTCGAGGGCAGCGCCGACGGCGACTCGCGACGAGGTGGATAGTCGCAATCATGCCACCACCCTGACGCACGTTCCCGTATCCACGGTTGCGTGTACGTCGACGACGCAAGTGGGAGCACGAACCGAGTCTCCCTCGACAAAAACGAAAGCTCCGACGATAGCTACGCGCTGGAACAGTGGTGAAACAACCGATCTACGCGCCAACGACGATCTGAATCCTCGCGAACGACCGCTGCGACCCTTAACCGTGGCACGACCGGCGTGAAAACGTCTAGGAGCACCGATCGACGCGTCCCGCGGTGACCCATCGATGCCACAGCGTCGAGACGCCGCAGCTCGCCACGGTACATCCTCTTAACGCTTGTCTAGTCCGGGTCCAAACGGGACGTCGGCACAGTATCGATGAATGCGCGTCTGGCTGATTGCGTGTGCCTGGTGCAGAGAGTTGATTATGCATGAATGCGGCGCGGCGCAGCTGCGGAGTGCATCGACAAGTGTCGTGCGCGGACCCGGGTGCACGTGTGCGGAAAAACGCGTGCTTTATCCGTTTTATCAACCCTAGCACATCGGGGAACAGTGCGGCGAACGCGAACACCTCGCACGTGTCGCAATTTATAGCGTTTCGGATGAGCTCGGTTAGACGGTTCTGGGATAAGTGACACGCGGTTTCTCACAGCCCCAGAAAGTGGTTCTGTTCTTCGCTAGCTCGAATGCCTTACGAAGTCTTGTGTGGTGTCCAATGGAGAGTTCTGCCGCCAAAGGGCCAACAGAACACGCGGGTGTCGACCTTACAACCGATGAGGCAACCTCCAGCGTGAAGCTTCCGTTTGCCGGTGTGAGAGAGGCTTGACACCCGAGAGCAACACTCTTCGGTAGACATTCGGCGATGGAGCTTGCTCGTGCTGGCGATCTATGTTCATTCAAGAACGATAAAGGCGATTTCTAAAGATTTTAGTCATTCGAACAGTTTGGAGTTTCTATCGAGACCTGAATAGTCAAGGAAAGCGAATATCGAAAGCTCTCAGACTCTCTACCGCCTCGGAACACTGCAATCTTGAAAGAATCCTCGACTTGCTCAGGTCAGAAAAGTCGCTAACAGTCACCTCAGCTATCAGAGCCCTAAGAAACTTATAGAATCTCCAGTGATTGCAGATACCTAGACCGTGGAACATCGCTTCTATCACCTCTGTCTTTCCCAACACCTCTACCAACAATTCTGTAGCTAGAGAGTCGTCAGCACGTGCGAATCCTCAAGATCCCCAAACAATATCACTCTACAGGCCATAACTAGGCACCTGTGAGCCGTTAGTCCACGTTCGTCTTCCTATGAGGTCGCATGACTTCTGTCAAGGGCCCCTTGCCTTAACCATAAACGTCAATCTGGCTCCAAACCGCGTTGACTCTGGCACACGTGTCCGCAAGCCGTGCGCGATCGATCGGTCAGCACCGAGGCGAGGAAACCGTGCTCCAGGTGTGCGAGGTGTCCAAGGAGTCCGCGAGCCAGGCTCCTATTACGCTTCTTTCTTCTTCGGATGACACGGGCGCCTCGAGTGCTCTAGCAAGCAACTCTAGCCTGCTCTATTTCCGTGTGTTTTCTTTGGTGATGCTTGCAGCTGCGCTCGGGAGCACGCCCGTGAGTTTTCCACGTGTATTTTTGGAAAGCGTTTTCATTGCATCGGGACTCTGGAAATTCACCCATGCCGAGAAGTTGAAGACGATAACGTTCGATGCGTCAGATTTGTGGTGCTCTAGGAGTGGAGCACGGAGTCTATTGTGTCTTTAAACACTCTAAGGCTACTTTTAAGTTGTGGCAAACATTTCTCAACAGTCTTCGAGTACAATAGCGAGTTGATGTTTCATGAATTAGTCTCCTCAGATGTCGAGGTTCCAAGATTTACCAAGATTTCTATTCCGTCTTCCTAGTCTAATTTTAATCCGTGGTGTTCTTCACGAGTTGATGGATATACGAGGTGTCTGAACTGATAACAAGCATATTGCAAGCTAACGTTATCGCTATCCAAATTGTTTCCTTGGTCACGTATAGCTGTAAACGTTGTCTCTACTCTCGAAAGCTGGAAATCTCGATTACTTCAGCTTGTAATAGGGTAATAACGCCCACGTGGTGTCGACAAACTCCCAACTTTCGATTGCAAAATGCCGCCACGGTTGCGTCGGTGGCTTCCAACGCTAGATCCACCGAAGACTTCGCGAGAGCTGTTTGGGGCTGATGAAAAATACTACGAGAATCGAGTCATAGAATCGCTTCATGGCGAAGAGAATCATGCCTCGGACGGCTGGCGCTCGAGACCGCGTTTCAAAACCGAACATCCTCATAGGAGTTATTTTAATAATGAGGGTGTACAGGCGCTTTGTATAGCCTCTTTCTTTTCCTCCTCGCCACGCCAGAGCGCGTGAGAGCATCATCGGGGAACGCGGCGATTATTTCTCGTTCTTGCGTGCAGCGGGGATCGATTAATTGATTGTTGTTATATAAAAAAAAAAAAAAAAATGAGAGGACGCACGCGGGGGGTCTGGTGTAGCGACAGAAACGATTCTTTCCAACTTATTCGCGTCGACCAGAGGAAAGAAAATTGGAGCTGTTTGATTCCGAGTCTGCCGAGAGATTTATCGCTGAGGCGTTTCCAAACATCCACTTGCGAGAATTGTCGCTATCGGAAGTAGAATCTGGTACAGCGTTTTCTAAATTCGATTTCGCGAACGGAAGTAGCGATGGTACCTAATCAAGTGCAACTTTGTAGAAATTTTCACGAGTTTTGATCTGGCAGACAAAGTGTCGAACCACTGCTCCAAAAGAATTCGCGCAGTTCTGTAACAAAATTCGCGACGAAGATGGTCAATAAAAAAAGTTAACGGACGCAGAAGTTTCAGTCTCGCGGCGAGTGTCGGTGGTAGTTAGTCAAGTGCATAGCGTATAGATTTTCAAGGGGATCGAGATGCGTAGAAACATGTAACGAACAACTTTCTCGGAAGAATAAACTAAAGACTGTGCTAAAACACTCGCATGACAGTATAACTATCAACGCGTCCCATTGCCTTATAAAATATTCGTACCATTAATTTTCCATCGTGATCGCAACCAACAATTCCTAAATCGCCGTGCCGTGATTCGTTATTTATTATTCAGATAAAATGTTTCCCATCGCCGGCAGGCAACGCTCCGTTCCAGAAACGCGGGTCGATCTCTCGCTTCGAAACGGTATCGGTTGCTCGCCGCGGATCGTTGACACCGAAGCGATTCCATTGATCGAATAGTATTCTAATAAATTCAAGGAAACCTACTTCTCGCCAGAAGAGAAAAGTAACTGACCGACATCGCCGTGCAGCGTGTGCAGCATCAAAAATGCAGCCCCGTGCGTCGTCTATAGACGCGACGGTTCCGCTCGTGTTTTCCCCCAGTCGATCGAATGCCTCGTTCCTCGTACAGTTCGAATCGAATGGAACGTGGAATGAGGAAGCGTGCGATTATCGACTTCGTCCCTCGAATCATTCCCTCGAACCTCTGATCGGCTTTATTAGGTCACTTCGATGCGAACGATTTCGGCGAAACGCGGCCACGCTCAAACATGACTCCTACCGATTACGAGATAGAGTCAAGTCGCGGTACTTTCCAACGAAATTATACAGGATGTATATCATGAGGGTGGAATTTACAAAGTTTTTGACAATTATTTTCTTAAGCGAAATAGATTTGGTAAGTCAAACCACGATATGTCCATCGTATCCAACACGATAAATAGAACTTACGAGCTCTCGACGATCTTTCGACCTTTCTGGGTAAAATTGTGCAATACAGATCTGATATTACAGTAACTAGTCCACCGGTCGTTGAAGTAAGAGAGATCTTCTCGTGTTCGTTAACGAAACAAATCGCCTAAACATCCGAAATCTGAACCATTCTTCGCAGACCATCTGCAAACCGAGTGTATCAACATCGCGTCTCGATAGACACGCCCCTCGCGATACCTGATTGATCCAGGACCACCAGCTGTGTTCATACACGGATCTGCACCATCTGCATGTCCTAAGCAGATCAATTTTCCCATACGCGGGCATCAACCATGCAAATTTCAACAATTAAACGCCTCGATGTCGTTGACCTCGCTGCCAAGTCTTCCTATCAATATTATTCCTCGAGACGTACGTTCCACGAGACGTTTGTCTCATCGGACGCACGAGCAGCGTTCGTAAATAAATTTTGGTGTCTATAAATTTTACAATTCTAGAACTTCGTATCAATGTCGTTCTTTGAGGCACGCGTTTTACGTGACGTCAGGTTAATCCGGAACGCGAGCTGTGTTCTGATAGGATCTGTATGGTTATTCCATCATCGTCTCTTGATAGATTGTTCTTTGAAACACCAGGGTGGTCCGGTGCCTAGTTGATCAGATGAGTGGATTAGATGGACCTGATTCTAAGTTATACACCAAACGTCCTAATAAACATCTTGAATCCATCCACCGGTCATCAAACTAATCAAGCGATTACTAACGAACCGATCCAATTGGCTGCGTATTCCTAACAGAGCTCCTTCGGAGCTTCTCCAAATCAATCGTGCAAATTGCAACGCTCCTCTGGATCGACATGTCCGATAGGACGTCTGATAAGACGTCAGCTCGATGGTCGCGTCCCTCGAGAGTCGTACTCCCCTCCAAGAGCCGGTGGTCGCGGCGCGAGATCGGACACGAATCCGTATTCCGTCAAATCCTCGCCGATTTTCCGCGCGGCGCGAGAACTTACTATTTATAAATGGTTTGAACCCGGTCGCGTTGGCGAACCTCGGTCCGCTCGAGCTGCCGCCTCGTGGGCCGTCGGCGTGGGGAACAATTCGCCACCCCATGGTAAAAATAGAAGCTCCTAGCCAGCTAGCCGAAAGCTCGAGGCTAGAGCTCGAGCGCGAGCGAGCGAGCGACCGCTCTAGCATCATCGCTAGAGCGGAGAGACGGACGGACGGACGGGGAGGTACGCGAGGCGTCTAACAGCGTAACAGAGTGACCAACGTCGCGGCGCTTCGGCCCTGCCCCCGATGATCATGACGACGACGGCGATGCTGGCGTTCCTCGTCGCCTCGTCGCCTCGAGGCCCGTCCTCTTCGTCGTGAGAGGAGCGATACGAGAGTGCGCGCTGCTCCGCGTGTGTGCATACGTGTTCTTTTCGTGCGTGGAGCTCCGCTTGCTTCGTCCTCGTCCTCTTCCGTCCTCTCGTTCTTCGCGTATCGTCTCCTACGCGCGGTTTCGTGAATCCTCGGCTCGGATGGAACCGGTCTCCGAGGGCAACGGAATCGCTCTACATTCCCGGCTGAACACGCTCGCGAAGCTCTCTCCGTGAAGTCTAGTGAATATTTTAAGACAAGAGTCTCCACATGTAGCAAGAGGCGGCGCGGGCTGATTCACTCGGTGCTCGGTTCTCGCGGTACCAGCGAGCTGGGGAAGCGGCTGGTCGTCTCGCCGTGGTGGACACCGTTCGTCGGTCTTAAGGGTCAACGCTGAGGAGAACCAGCCCGGAGACCCCGACGAACGAGCTTTCGCGCCTCGGTTCGCGGCTGGCCGACCACGAACCACCGGGAGCGACCGAGAAAGACGTCGAGAGACGAAGACGGAAAGAGACACAGAGAGAGAGAGAGAGAGAGAGAGAGCCACATTCCGAGCGGATCACGGATGCTTATAGAAGCGTTGCGTAACGGCGTCAGACGGACGGCGAAACTGCGGCTGTTGGGGCCGTCGCGTTTCGACAACTTCGACGAAAAGTCTGCTAGGGGGTCCTCTTCTGGCATCGAGGCGGACATCGAACGCCCTGAACACGGATACTGCGCCGATCTCGAGAAGAACCGTGTGCTCCGCTCGGTGCTGTTTCGTCTGTGCCGTCGCATACGAGGTGCTCGATATACGGATCGAGGAACCGTTGGTTCGACGTACTCGGGACGTTCCCGTCGATCGGGGATCGACTCGTCTTATACACGTGCGTGTGGGTGCGAGTGAAACGGGGGTTCGGTAGCCGTAAGTCGGCCACGAGGAAGATTTAATGAGATGAGAAGACGGAGGAAGTGATAAAGGACGAGCGTGAAACCGGACAAGGTGTTCCACGGTTATCCTGCTGGGTGTATCGATTCCGCGTGTCCCGCGTGATTTCAAGGCCAGCCTCGCAGCGCTGAGCCTCGCAGGGGAGCCGCGATCCTCCGTCGTGGCCTGCGATCGTTCGACGGTGAATCGAGGCTCGCGATGCGTGTCTCTCTGGTCTGTGCTCCTCTCCTACCGACCGAGACTAAAATTAACCCGTGTCGAATCCTAGAAAATTTCGGTCTAGCCTCACATCAAGCTGAATCTCCGTATTTTTAGATCGCGCACGGAGAAGAGAAAAATCCCGCGTGTCCTTGACACCCGCGAACACCGTGTCAGGAATCGATAACGGTGGTATCTCGAGTCTCGACGGACGATCGCGGTCTCCCTGCGCGCGAGAGGGGTGGGGGGGGGGGAGGGGTGGGATCGAACCGACCGCGACGACAGTAAGCTCGTCCAGCGATCGGGATAGATGAGGAGAGGGTTGTTCGGTGATCTTGCAGAGGTCCGTTGGAACGCGTGAACCGGGAAACGTGGAGGCGGACAGGAAGGATGGAGCAACGTCCAGGGGGACGCGTGTGCGATTTTTGCTAACGGGCCAGCACGACGACGATAACGACGACGAAGACGACGAAGACGAAGACGACGACGACGAAGAAGAGGAAGAAAAAGACGAAGATAACGACGTGGGTGGTGGGGTCAGTGGGTGGAGGAGGAGGAGGAGGAGGAGGAGGCGGTGGTGGACGAGCGGCGCGAAGAGATGCAGCAACAGCCGCAGTCTGGCCAACAGTCCGGGGCACCGAACGGGGTGGCAGGTGGTGCCCAATTGCCGCAAACAGGTGGCTTGAGCTCTGCTCAACCTGGAGCGACAGGTACCGCCACGGCGGCGTCCAATCGTGCCCAGGTTAACGGGGGCAGATTTGATTTCGACGATGGCGGCACCTACTGCGGCGGTTGGGAGGATGGAAAAGCACACGGACACGGCGTATGCACGGGACCCAAGGGCCAAGGTGCTTACTCTGGTAGCTGGCACTATGGCTTCGAGGTCTCCGGAGTCTACACCTGGCCTAGGTGAGATCAGATGTTCGCTTTCTTATTCATTTTTGGCATGCTTTCAACCCGATCCGACACTCCTGGGCTTTTCGAGACGGACGTTTCGAGAGCCCGTGTTTCTTACTCGTCCAGGTGGTGCGCTTATGCCCTCGAAATTCGATTAGGGAACCTTGAACGAGGACTTGGATAATAGAGCACGGGTAGTTGTCCATCTGGAAATTAAACGTAATTCTTTTCGAGATATTCAGCTTTCAATTCGGTATTAACTCTTTGCACTCCTACGTCAGTTTTTATCCTAGAGCTCCTTTGTCGAGTTCCACTCGAGTCAGTTTCTCGTTCAAGTATTAATTTTAATCGTACGCTCGGTTTATTATTCCACAGCTTTTATATTCCCGTGAGTTTTTCTTTATCCGTTGCTCTCCAATCCATTAAGCAATCAATTATTTTTCTTTGAAAATTCATGTTTACTGTCTATAAAAGTCACGCGGTGTACAAATCAGTTTTAGTAGCTATAAAAAAAATTCATTTTCTTTAAACTTACAGCTTTAAAAATACATTTCAATTATAATTGTTGCTGATTTCGAAGTCAAAAGTTATCCGCAGAGGTGGTTCCGAGACTGTTTCGAGAAGTAAGAGGAAAGCAACGGAAGCTTCGCGGAATTCCCCGATTCTCGTTGGACTTTGGCAATTTACACGAAACCACCGTACTCTCCCTCTCTCTGTTCGTTAAGGATTAACGTTGATCTCGGCTGAGCCAGTCTCTGTACACATTGTTAATTCCGAGATTGTATAAGCCATCTACCATCGCCGACGAGTCGCCGCTCCGTTCCTACGTGGATCTTAAATTTAATTAACGAAAGTTACCTCAAACTCCGCCAACTTTCGATTCGCTGAGACACTTTTCTTAAATTTTCCCTTAATCGCCTTTTTTTTACCTTTGAAAAGGAAACTTTGGTGCCCCGAGATAATGAAAACGCAGGCGTCTCACACTATCGAAATTTAGTTTAATCGAATGGCGTCTTTTTGGTTTGAAAATACACAAATGTTGGATAAAGATTGAGGTTAACGAGCTTGGTTTAGTCTCGTTAGTTCATTCCAACGTACACGAATCGCAAGTATCTAAAAAAGGCGTCGGTTAAGTCGATGTATCACTCGTCCTCGAAACGCTCCGGACGCCTACCTCTAGAGCTAAATCCTCTCGGAGTCTCTCGTAAGAGGATTGAAACAATTACGTCTGGAGAAGAAAACACGATCAGACGCGAGACGATTCCATTCAACGACGTCTAAGAGCATTCAGGGTTTGTTTGATAAATGTCGAATCCTATCGAAGTGGTACGATCGGGAAATAAAAATTGCTACCTCTCGAAATGCAAAATTTCATCGTCCAAACCTTGAATATACCATGATCTGCAATCTATAGCAATCTAGGATAAACCTTTTAATTAGTTCTATTTTTACGGTATTTCGAAAATATCCGCCACGTTTGGAGTCCCAACGTCGACACGAAGTTTGCGTTTAATTACAATTTCGCTTCCAGGTAGAAGAGAAATTGCTAATCGCAGAGCGAAAAATTTCACCATCCGAATCCTAATAACAAATAGACGAATAAATCCTCGAGTAATGGTAGAAGTTGGAAAACTTGGAAAATTGCTCCCGATCTGGCTGTAGCGGATCGCGGACGGAGAAAAGTTTCGAGGAAACGTTTCTTCGATAGGCTCGAGGTCCCGAAATAGTGGTTGGTTTTGTTCTGTCGCTGCAAGCAGTCTCTAACGGCGTCAATTCGAGATGAACGAGAGACCTTGACACATATATCTCATCGTATACCTGGGGCTGGGCGGGAATCTCCCGATCCTGAAAGTGGGACACCGAGTGCAAGGACAACGAGTCCAGGTCACTGGGATTCCGGCGTTTAGGACCTAGTTCATGGACGCGACGGATAATCGCTTTCCCGAATCTCCCAGGATCCCTGATATTTCAGGAGGGACGAGGAAAAAATAATTCTCCCATGCAGCGTTGTTATTCTCGGGCTGTCCGTGTTGCAAACATTGTTTCGAGAGTTCAGAAAGTCATTTGGCAACGATTCAACTCTGTTCTCGATAATAGGTCTCTAGAAAAAGATAATTGCCCCATGTAAGCATCGTGTTCTTGATCCGTTCGAGCAACAAACAGTGGGTACAAGGGTTCGAGATGGGATCTGGCAGTGGTTCAAACTTGGTCTTTTTTGGGAGAGAAAATTAGAAAAGCTCGGAAAAGAATATTTACGAAATCTTTGGAGTGATCTGTAAATGGAGAAATTGAAATGGGAGTATACAAACTTGATTGTAAAACAGCCTGAAATTAGATCAATGATTCTAGAAGTCATCTTAGCGTTTAGAAAAAAAATAATTTTGCCCTGTTGTAATACGTTTTCAGTTTGTCCAGATTAAAATGGTTCAATGGTTTAGGAAGTGATTTGGCAACGATTCAAACCTGATTTGAGAGTAGGTCTTCTTTAGAAGGAACGATTCTCCGATTCTCCCATGCAGCATTCACTTCTTGATCTGTGCACGTTACAAACAATGGTTCATGGGTTCGGAGTGGTATTTGGCAACGATTCAAATCTGTCTCGAGACTAGACTTTCTTTAGAAAAAGCCATTCTCCAATTCTGCGTCGTGTTCTCGGTTTGTGTGGTCTACGAGAGATGGATTGAAAATGTGGTTCGGTGTGTATTCAATTTTTTCGTACAAAATTTCATTCTCTTTAGGACCTTGTTAAGAGTTTTTGTTTAAAATTTTCTAAAATAAAGAATGCATGTTCTCTTGATATAAGAAACAGAACTTATATGGAAATTATTTTATTTTAATTTATTTTTATACTGAATTTAATAAGCATGCTTTTCTAAATACGACCAAAACCAATTTTCGTAACTTGTTAGATCGTTCTACAAATAAATGGAAGAATCCAATTGATAGATTTTCCTCTCGCTCGCGGTTCATTTAAATAAGAAATGGAGTACGATTATCGTCTACATTTTCTGTATTCCCCTTGTATCTGCTTCCGAATTAGAATTGTCGGAATATTCCCATGATTTCTTTCTACGAAACCGAGCAACGCAGCTATATTTGTAGCTTTGATCGTTCCGGAAGAAATTCTGTCACGCGGCTTTAAATAGTCGAGCGTAACGAGGCTCCGTAAATATAATTGTTATCAACATCTGGTGACACACCGACGAACACGAGAGGGTCGACCTACATTTTTACATATTTTCAGTCGCGGATGTTTAAAAAATAACGATCAGAACCTTCTGTCTTGGAAAGAAACATGCAGTTTACGAACATTTCGACTCCTCGATCCGAGTCATCCTCCGAATCTGGAATAACTCGAGCAAAAACCAAACAGTTGACTAGGATTTTTCATATTTCTGTTTCGGAAATATCACAAATTCATATCCCAAAATCATAAATAATTTCTATTATTCAGCCTCAAATAGACTGGGGATAGGTCACGCGAAAGATTCGAATTCTTCGAGAGTATTCCTGCGTTATTGAATGTCAATTATCGGGACAACGAAACTATCCGAAATATCCAAGGATCCTCGCATCTGATAATCGATGCACTCGACTTCCACGTTACAATCTTCGTTAAAATAATTCTACGCAGTCGCGGAGAAGTAATTACACTTCTGATAAGTAGAAAACTTGTAAGGATTTCCAATTAATGTTTCACCTTCCAAATCTCGAGGTTTTTATTTTAGTAAAAACTCTCTTGACTCGTGGAAACTTTGAAGTAGGTCAGTATTATCTACGAATACGTTAATTCTGGTAACCAGTCAGCTTCCTTCTGTCGTTATTAAGCCACAAAACTGCTATCAGTAATTTTCGTTAGATACAGCGAATAAATAACATTTCTGCCGACTCTCTACGCGTGGTCTTCGAAGTAAAAAAATGTGTAATCAATTTAAAAATTCACTTCGGAAAGCGCAAAGTCCTCGTGTGTTCTGTGCGTATCGATTAAGCGAGAGCGTTAACCAAGCATGTAACAATTACATGAACACGCGTTAGATTCTGTAGCGGCACGTGACAGAAAAATGCTGCTGGAAAGCTCGAGCCACGATCCTATCGCTAACGAAAGTCACGCACGCCAAACGAGTTTCTAATTGAGACATAATAATACGTTTTCGTTGTTCGCTACTATTTCGCCTTAAACGTTTCGACCGTTTTCGAAAAGAGAACCGAAACCTGGCAACGAACCCATGATTTTCGTGGCAATCAATTTGCACGATACAATTTCACGCGCGCGCGCGCGTGTTCCAAGTGACTTCCATATCAATTTTCTCGAAAACGAAGCTCCCTACCAAAAATTTCGTTTCGCGTTTTGGGTATATTTTTATACGAAAAATAACTAACCACTCTCGATTGAATTAGTTCGAAGTCGTGATAATTTGAAAACTCGATACGGAGGAATAATGAATTGCCCACGGAATAATTAAAATGACGTTAGCCAACGTTGCGCCAGTTAATTACTGTTGCGTCCTTATCAGCCTAATTGCATGTGTGTTTAAGAATTCATCGTGTCATTCGATAATCACAAAGAACAATTAGCGCGCATTAAAAGATCCTCGAGCGCGAGCAGTCTTTTAATATTCTCTTTCGACGGATCCTCGCGATCAAAGCCCACCGTTCGCGGAGCCGGAAGGGTGGAAATATCGTGGAAAGAAAATAGAAAGGGGGGAGAGATGGGTGGAACGAAGATGGGGAACCTGTGTTACTTGCCACCACGTATCTGGGCCGAGAGATTCCGTCGTTTCGTTTCCGTCTAAACTGGAGCAAGGTCTTCGTCAAGTCACGTTTTCCTGGGGACGCCCGGCGAATCGCTGCTCCGTCTGTCGCCGATGGAAAAGATGCAACAAGAGACTCGCCAATATTGCCAATTATGCAATTAAAATTTGGTCTTCTTTTTTGGAAAATTGGGCAGGCTCTGTTAGTTTCGATTTCACTTATGGATTGACTTTCATTTAACGATTTCAACAATTACTGCGATAGATACTTAAATCGTGTACCAAACTACTGTTTACTTACATACAATATACTTCATATATTAGATAAAATATTAATTCAATCTTTTGTCCAAGTACTCCGGTTCATACTCCGGAGCAATACCTGCACGATACTTCAATTGCAAGTACCTTATTGCAAGTACCTTTTTCGTATCTCACCTGTAATGATTTAAACACCACTTTCATTATAAATCCTGCGATAAAATTGTTTAGACTTACGCGTTCCTCGATCTTCGTCTGATTTTCGGTGCGAAGAATTATTAGGGGGTGCGCTATCATTCTGTCTCGTGGCGTGTAAACAAGAGGTTTGTGCCTGAAGGCCCTCTCGGCACTCGAGATTCTTAGATAAAATAATTTTTTGGAAAAAAAATTTAACCGACTTCCAAAAAGGTGCAGTGAAAAGTATGAAATAATTTCTAGTCAATTTATATGAATACCCACTAGCTCTAGATATAATTGCTTAAAAGTATGGGAAAATGCAGTGAAAAGTATGAAATAATTGCATTATCCACCGAGCACCTATATTACCGACAGATTAATCTGCATTATCGACCGTGCACTCCACATTATCGACTGAGTAATCTGCATTATCAAACGAGCACTCTGCATTATCGACCGATCCCTCTGCATTATCGACCGAGCACTCATC